TTCCATTTCCTAATAATTGCTCCCACAGTTGATTTCTTCAAACCAAGCTGCTTACCTATTGCAGATTCAGTCTTCCCAGCCTGGTGCAGGTCTACACTTTTGTTTCTGGTGTCCTTTGACAGCTCTTTGGTCTTGGCCATAGTGGAGTTTGGAGTGTGACTGTTTGAGGTTGTGGACAGGTGTCTTTTATACTGATAACAAGTTCAAACAGGTGCCATTAATACAGGTAACGAGTGGAGGACAGAGGAGCCTCTTAAAGAAGAAGTTACAGGTCTGTGAGAGCCAGAAATCTTGCTTGTTTGTAGGTGACCAAATACTTATTTTCCACCATAATTTACAAATAAATTCATTAAAAATCCTACAATGTGATTTTCTGGATTTTCTTTTCTCAATTTGTCTGTCATAGTTGAAGTGTACCTATGATGAAAATTACAGGCCTCTCTCATCTTTTTAAGTGGGAGAACTTGCACAATTGGTGGCTGACTAAATACTTTTTTTCCCCCACTGTATGTCTTGTCCATCAACCCCCACCCATGCCATGAATCTCTAAAATGACCAACCACTCCACAATCTGTTTTGTTGATGTTTGGAGTGTAAACATACCCTTAATGGCAAAAGAGAGCGAGGGATGGAGAGAAAGAGTGAGATTATTGCCCTGTCATCTATTTTATATGTTCCTATATGTTTACTTTGGAAAGAGAGATGATGAGAGGCTGTTCTCTGTAGCTCAGTTGATAAAGCATGATGTTTGCATCACCAGGATAGATTCCTGGGACCACCCATACTTAAAATGTATGCACGCATGACTGTGAGTCGCTTTGGATAAAAGCGTCTGCTAAATGGCAAATATTATGAGAGAAAGAGAGAGAAAAGGTTGATGAGAGAGAGGCTAGTAGTGTGGGGGGAAAATAAACAGGGGGGTGACATTCATCAGACCAGCCATCTCTCTTCCTCCCAGCCAGTCTCCTGTTGCTGCAGACAGGTCGGATCAGACTGGGGCTGGACAAGACCAGGGTACCCCTCCCATTTCATCTGCAGGCCTTCTCATTGAGACTCGATGACATTTACAATGTATTATCCTGTAGTCATTTTTTTTAAAATACAGAATTCAACCAAAGGATTCAACCATAAACTGGGTGGTTTGAGTCCTGAATGCTGATGGGCTGAAAGCCGTGGTATAGCCGACCGTATACCACGGGTATGCCAAAACATGTATTTTTACTGTTCTAATTACATTTATAAACAGTTTATAATAGCAATAAGGCACCTCGGGGGTTTGTTGTATATGGCCAATATACCACGGCTAAGGGCTGTTCTTAGGCAGAATGCAACACGGAGTGCCTGGATACAGCTCTTAGCTGCCTTATAGCTTCATTAAATGTTGTTCAGATGCTCTCTGTGTGTGTAAAACATAGAACTCTCCTGGAAATCCATATTCCTGAGAACGCCACTGGCATGTCCGTATATACCAATGACTGTATATATATAAAGGTATATACACACCTCAGAATGAGGTAATTTAAGCCTACTGGTCCATCTGTGATATAATAGAGTAACGGATGTGATCGGATTGAGCAGTGTTTCCCCTATATTCATTTCAAGATTGTTGCCACTGCTGCAAAAAATATGATGTAACTTTTAAAAATAGATATATTTCTGCCAAGATGCGCCTTGCCACCACTGCTGAAAAAAATCATAGGGGAAACACTGGATTGAGTAACCTTACCTGAGAGCTGAGGAATTGCGTTGGCTCCCGAAACCCAGATTTGAATCATGTCAGTCACATTGGGGCTGTAACTCAGATTGATATCTGCAAGAAGGAGGTCAAAATGGGGATTAAGTGTAATAAAATGTAGGTCGTTTTAAACCACGCTTGCGTGATGTGTAACTGTGCCTGAGACCTGAACACTTCCGTTGGCTCCCTCCGTGGGCTAACGCGCTCTTCTAGACTGTGAAACAAAGCATTATTAAGGAAGCAAAGATTTACTACATTTATGTCCCCAATCACCAAAGCAGACAAATAGGACTGGAATACTTCACATCTAAGTCTATTTAGCATGCAGTGCCATTCATATACATAAACAATTCATAAACATTTCTTACTGTATTTGATTAAACCAGAGAGGAAGAGGCAAAGCGAGAGGGATAACTGGGCCCAAAATCTGTTTTCTCCAGCAGGTGGCGAATTTTTAAAAATTATAATCACTTGCCAAAGAAATTGCTTGCCAAGCGAGGCGTTTTGTATGGAGGTCAACAAGAGAGTGTCGAATTTAGTCAGTGTTAGAAATTGCGTAATTCAAATCTGGTATTGGAATAAGAATCAAGAGATCTTCAATCCAAGCTAAATTTATTATATGCAAAATGTATGTATGATAAGTATGAAGGTTCGTATATACGGGTCCGCTGAGATACCACGCAGGGCACTCAGAGAACTGATCCATTGTTTACAGGTTATTTCTCAAATACTCTGACAGAGAGTTCCCACCTCTTCTGTTGGCCAATCAGAGTAAAGGACTGAGTGTGGTTTAGACTTTACTCAGCCAATCCGTTGGCGCATGGGTTAGTCCCACCCCTTGGCGCTCCACCGTTCCCAGGCATAAGTTTATCATAACAACCTGTAGAGTCAGCACCCAAAAGACTGTACGTTCCTACATCCAAGGACGGTTCACAGACAACGGTTCACAGACAACAAAGAGGCAGTGTTCGTATCTGTAAGAAATACAAGTCTTATCTGTCCTTCCCCTAACGTTCCACACATGAATCACAGCCTGTTATGTGAAACAATTTATATCAGTATAGTACAAACCTATGCTCCTCATTAATGCATTCCTTCTAAGCTATTCATCACTTCAATCCAATTATTAGAAAACAAATCCCAACATCAGCAAACAATTAAATGTCTTATTTGCTACGTGTGGCTTATTTGATCGAATAGAAGTTTCGTAATACTAAGGTTGTTAGTATGGCCTGCTAGCTCCCCTACCTCTACAGAAGCACAGTTCCCGCTCAGCCCAGTCAAAGCTATTTGCTGCTCTGGCACCCCAATGGTGGAACAAGCTCCCCCACGACGCCAGGACAGCGGAGTCACTGACCACCTTCCGGAGACACTTGAAACCCTACCTCTTTAAGGAATACCTGGAATAGTATAAAGTAATCCTTCTACCCCCCCCCCATAAAAAAAAAAGAAGAAAAAAAAGTGGTTGTCCCACTTGCAATCATAAATTGAATGCACCAATTTGTAAGTCGCTCTGGATAAGAGCGTCTGCTAAATGATGTAAATGTGAATGTATGTTATGAGTGTACTGATATAAGTAGGACGCGTGACATCCCGGCGATTTTGATTTAAAAAAAACACTTTATATCGGAGTTGTGCAGGTTGTTCACATGCGTATCTGCCCTCTTATTGGCTAGAATGGTCCCGACTGCCTTCCATTTGTTACAATTTTTATTTCCATTGTTAGAGCGGCCCCTTGAGTATCTGGTCAATATAATGGATAATCTGTTCTTAAACCCATTCCAGAACAGAAACTAGCGGAATTAAGCAGTTTCCCTTTAAGAGCCATGTAAACAAAGAGCGGGTTTGCTTTATATGAGAGGTATTTTATTTTACGCACGTTTTATTCTGTGAAATTGCACGGGGTTCCAAAAGGGTTTCCAACGATTGCGCGAGCGTAAATGCTTTCTGAATGTGAAAATCTGCGCGCATGCACTTTGTCAGGGGGAGTGAGATAGCTCAATGGGAGTGAGAGAGGAGCATGAATGGAGCAAAATGGCGGATCATGTGCAGGTAACCACAGCTTTATGTTTTTGCAATATATCAATCCACAATAAGCCTTTGAATGACCTGTAATATATATTTAGATGCGTTATTTAATATATAGAGAGTGAATGCATCCCAAATGCATGCATAAGGCGGTCGCGGTACAGGTTGTGTGCGATATGTAGCTAGGATGCGAGGTGCAGTGTTGACTTGTGGCCTGTCATCATGTAACGTTAGCTTTCGCCGTTTAAAGATGCGGACCGAAAACAAAACATTGGTGTTTATGAAACATAGCTAACTGTTAACTAACTAGGACTGTTTCTGCTGGGCGAATATATTGATTGTAGCAACTATCCAGATTGTCATTGTGTTTTATCTCATGCTTTTTTACCAAGTAAAGAACACCTTTAACATATATGTTCAATGGGTCGGCCTATCTGCTAGCTAGGAGAGGATGGGGGAAATGCCAGCTAGTTAGTTGACAGTAGCTAACTAGCTAGCACTAATTCATTGGTTAGCAACTCTCATGTTTCACCCTTGCTTCACCCTTCGCCGAAATCCGATCTAATGTCCAAATGTCATTATTGATTATGCTTTGTTTGTTTGATCAGACCTTTCAAATGCACCACTATTGGTAATATACCAGGCTAGGTTAGCGGTTGCTAGCTTGCAGGTATATAGCAGCACAACATTCTCCCGCGCGACCCACTTTCGTTTTTTCACACGCTGTGAGCTGGAATGTAGCTAGCTTGGAACCTGGCTCGTGCACGGTGTGGTCGTTATTATATTTATTCAACCCCACCAAGCACATTTTCCAACCAAACCAAGAATGTGCCATTCCGAAACGGACACACCTAGCAACTTAACTAGCTAACGTTATCTGGCATGGAGCATAACATATTTATAACTAACTATCATTATATCTGTGAGAATATAGCTACCATTAGCTAGCTAATCAGCTAATACTTTACTTTGCCAAACAACTAACGTTAGCTTCGTCTTTCCAGCCAATGTGCTAACGTAAAGTAGCTTAGCTGGGATGCTGGCTGTCATGTGGGCACATTTTTGTACAACTGACTGACATTAGCTAGGTAGCTACTGTTAGCTAGCTAGCTAGCACTTGCAGCTAACTGTCACATCAAGCAGACGATAGATTAACAGTAACTTTATCAGCCTCAACCTTTCCGTAGCTACAGTTTGTGTTTATAGCAACTTGGTCTGAAAGTGTCGGCGACTGCTGATGCGAGTAGGTAGCTAATAATTTTTTCGCTAAGTCAGATAGTTTATTATGTACGTGTTGATTAAATTATAAATTTTCACCCCACCCAGGTGGCTAATTCTGTGCATTATATAAACTATTTTAGAGATCTGTGGTGTCAGTATTTTTTTTAACGTTAGCTTAGCAGGCTGGTGGTGAGACCCAGATAGATATCTAGTTTATTAATAATTACTACAGATGCACGCGCACTGAGGCAGCGCTTCCTGGTCAGGATGCCTGACCGCGTGACGTAACTGTCTCTTTTTGCAAAGTCATCATGCACAGCACGGGACACACACAACATGCTCCAGACACACACATTCTGTGTAGGCCTGCTCAGAACATCAGCTCTTGCCAAGGTTCTCAGGAACTATCAGCATGACATGATGATCTAGCTAGCCCACCCACATCCGTAGTCAGATGTACTGCACAGCATCAGGACTGTTGTAGTAGTAGTAATATTAGTAGGTGTGTGGCACACTGTGTCAGGCTCAGCACAGCAGCAGTGCTGGGTTATTGAGCTCTTTATCTATGTCTAGCAGTCCTCTTCTCCCTAGCCATGTGCCACCCAACGCCCTCCCTAGACTAGTACATCCTGTATTATATCAGTAGCTAGCATCAGACTGGCTCCGGGATTCTGCTGACTAGTCCTTTAAACAATATGGTGTTGGTCAGGCTAGCTGGGGTGTGCATGCATGAGTGGTTATGTAGTTCTTTACAACAATGGTGTTACTAATGCTAGCTGAGGTGAATAGTTGGCTGCATTGTTACTGGTGGATTTAGTGTACATTAGCTGTATGGATTTAGTTTGTGAGTTAGTTAGTTAAACCTTATGTTAGTTAGTGTGGGGTATTGGGGTAAGTTAACTATCTGTGTGGTATCCGGTCCCACCCAGCCCCTATAGCAGTGGAGGCTGCTGAGGGGAGGACGGCTCATAATAATGTCTGGAATGGAGTCAATGGAATGGTATCAAACACATCAAACATGGTTTCCATGTTGTTGGTGCCATTCCATTGACTCCATTCCAGCCATTATTATGAGCTGTCCTCCCCTCAGCAGCCTCCACTGCCCTATAGCCACTACGTCTGTCTGTCTGTCTCTGTCTGGTGTTTAGCCCCTGTGTTTCTATCTAACAAAGGTCATGTTCATTAGAGTGCCACTGAATGTTTTATTTTAGTGAATTTTCTTGTCATTGAAAAAAATGTGAGCGAGGCATGTCTGTTGTACGAAACAGGCTTATAGTCTTTCTTATTTCTGTTAGAATGTTCTGCAACATTGTGCCGTACTGATTGCACACAGCCCAATACAACTGTCTACACCTGTATCCTGGCTGTTAACGAGGGATATTTTCTGGCGCTCTACTCACTTAGGTCTCTCTCTCTCCTGTGTGTGTGAGTAGAGCCTAGCCCAGCTAGAGATCCTGTGTAAGCAGCTGTACGAGACAACAGAGACGGGGGTGAGGCTGCAGGCAGAGAAAGCTCTGGTGGAGTTCACTAACAGCCCAGACTGTCTCATCAAGTGTCAGCTACTACTGGAGAGAGGCAGCGTGAGTAGTACACACACTGACATGGTATCAATAAGCTGTTGATATTTACCATATTACCTGATAAAAAGGGTGGCAGGTAGCCTAGCAGTTAAGAGCGTTGGGCCATTAAGCAAAAGGTCGCTGGTTCGAATCCCTGAGCCGACTAGGTGAAAAATATTTTGATGTGCCCTAGAGCAAGGCACTTAACATAACTGCTCCTGTAAGTAGCTCTGGATAAGAGCGTCTGCTAAATGACTCAAATATAAAAATGACTGACAATATTTACTATATTACTTGCTATTTTAGCTCAGCTGATGTTGTCGCCATCTCTGTCCATGCTTCTATTCCCATCTTCCCCTCTCTTCTCCCCAATTTTATTTTTTTAACTCCCTCTCTCTTTCTCTCTCTCTAGTCTTCCTACTCTCAACTCCTTGCAGCTACCTGTCTGTCTAAACTGGTTTCACGCACCAGCAACCCTCTTCCCTTGGAGCAGCGCATCGACATCCGTAAGACTCACTCACACACATCCCACCAGTGTATATTCATGCTCTACAAGTCAGTCCATAAGGCTCATATGTGTGTGTGTGTGTGTGTGCATGCAGGGAACTATGTACTGAACTATCTGGCGACGCGGCCGAAGTTGGCAGAGTTTGTTACCCAGGCTCTGATCCAGCTGTACTCCAGGTAAACCTCTCTCCGCTCCTCTATCTTCCTCTCTTATCTTCATCCCTCTCTCCTCCATGTGAGTGATTCTCTCCCTTGTTTTTGTCTTCTCCAGGATCATCAAGCTATATGTGTTTTTGTGTGTGTGTTTCAGGATTACCAAGCTTGGCTGGTTCGACTGTCAGAAAGACGACTATGTCTTCAGAAACGTCATCGCAGACGTCACACGCTTCCTACAGGTACAAACGTGTTTGTGTGTAGCCAATATAATGCGTTTCCTTGAAGTAGGTAGTGGACTGATCAAATCTGCCTGTCTGTCTGTCTGTCAGCAGGACAGTGTAGAACATTGCATCATAGGAGTCACCATCCTATCCCAACTAACCAACGAGATCAACCAGGTACACTACCTCTCCTCCCTCTTTCCTCTACTCCACATCTCTCTCCTCTCCTCTTATTTCCCCTTCTCCCCTCTAATCTGAAGTGGTGGTGTTGCTGTTATGTGTTTTTGAAAGTGTTGTAGTTGTGTGTTAAATCTGTGTTTGTTGTTGTGTGTGCAGGCAGACACCAGCCATCCTCTGACCAAACACAGGAAGATTGCGTCATCGTTCAGAGACTCATCCCTCTTCGACATATTCACCCTATCCTGCAATCTCCTCAAACAGGTGTGTGTGAGATGGTAGTAGTAGTATGGCCGTGTGTGTGTATGTGAGAGAGATTGTATTAATGTGTTGACATACCTATTGACATCCATTTCCAGTCATTCTTGTGAACTTAGTGTGTGTGTGTGTCTAGGCGTCGGGTAAGAACCTCAACCTGAATGATGAGAGTCAGCATGGTCTGCTGATGCAGCTACTGAAGCTCAGTCACAACTGTCTGAACTATGACTTCATTGGAACGTCCACAGACGAGTCCTCTGATGACCTCTGCACTGTTCAGATCCCCACTTCCTGGAGATCAGGTAACACATTCTGTAAATTCTGTAAAATAGCAGTACTGCACCACCTATTACTAGTGCTGGGGGTAATGCGTTACGTAATCAGATTACTTTTATGAGTAATGGAGTAAAGTAACGTGTTACTTTTTCAAATTGGGTAATATTATTACAATTACAATGTCAAACAACGAGTGCGTTACTTTCAGAATCATATCTCTACCGGCTGCGTGTTTCCATGATCCGATCTCGACTTGTTTCCTCATTTAATTCTCGAGCGAATGGAGAAAGGCTGAAGAAATGTAGAAAAGTATTGAGGGCGCACCTCTGATCTTTGCCATTTATTGTTTCTTTGATGGCAAAGCCCATAGAAGGCTTTCCCGTCTAGTGGCAAGTGTGCCCTCTATACATCTCTATGGGTCCGTGTACGTGCGGTCTATAACCAGAACTGGTGGCTCAAGAGAAAGATTTTGAATGAAAAGATAGGAAATCTGTACAGCTGTTTGGATTACATATGGCTAATTAAGCAGCCCATATGATAGCGCAGCACATGTAGACTAGCACAGGGAAGCGTCGCTACAGATGAAAGGAGAAACTAGTGATCAAACCTGAGGTAATAAGTAGCGTATCTATGATAGAGTGCGCCCGGTTCACCTTGCTCCCTCCGACTGTCAAACAAACGGTGAGATTTTGAGATTTGTTCATGAAAGTAACGCAAAGTAATATAACATTACTTTCCAAACAAAGTAATATTGTAAAGTAACGAGTAATATGTATTACTTTTTCAAGTAACTAATCCCAACACTGCCTATTACTGTGTAGTAACCTAATCTGTCTCTCTCTTTCTCTCTCAGCATTTTTGGATTCCTCCACTCTCCAGCTCTTTTTTGATTTGTATCATTCCATCCCTCCCTCTCTCTCCCCGTTGGTGAGTAAAGCGGAGTGTGTGAGTGTGTGTGTGTGTGTGTGTGGCTTGTATGTTCACTTCAGTACAGGATGAGTGTAGTGTTCAATGCTCTGTGTGTGCAGGTGTTGTCGTGTCTAGTCCAGATAGCGTCAGTGAGGAGGTCTCTGTTCAACAACGCAGAGCGAGCCAAGTTCCTCTCTCACCTGGTGGACGGAGTCAAGAGGATACTAGAAAACCCACAGGTAATAAATCAAATCAAACTTTATTTGTCACATGCGCCGAATACAACCTTACCGTGAAATGCTTACTTACGAGCACTTAACCAACAATGCAGTTCAAGAAAGAGTTAAGAAAATATTTACCAAATAAACAAAAGTAAAAAATTATAAAAAGTAACACAATAAAATAACAATAATGAGGCTATATACAGGGGGTACCAGTACCGAGTCAATGTGCGGGGGTACAGGTTAGTCGAGGTAATTTGTACATGTAGGTAGGGGTAAAGTGACTATACATACGTAATAGACAGCGGGTAGCAGCAGTGTCAATGTAAATAGTCCGGGTGGCCATTTTGATTAATTGTTCAGCAGTCTTATGGCTTGGGGGTAGAAGCTGTTAAGGAGCCTTTTGGTCATAGACTTGGCGCTCTAGTACCGCTTGCCGTGCGGTAGCAGAGAGAACAGTCAATGGCTTGGGTGACTGGAGTCTTTGACCATTTTTTGGGCCTTCCTCTGACACCGCCTAGAATATACAGTTGAAGTCGGAAGTTTACGTACACTTAGTAGTCAATGAACAGCATTCTCACATAGGTGTTCCTTTTGTCCAGGTGGGAAAGGGCAGTTTGGAGTGCAATTGAGATTGCGTCATCTGTGGGGCGGTATGCGAATTGGAGTGGGTCTAGGGCAGTGGTTCCCAAACTGTGGGTCATGTTTTTATTTTTATACATTTTTGGGATAGAAAAACGCTTTCCTAAATAACCTAAATAAATAAACCAAATAGTATGTATAAAAGATAATGAACCTATACATTTTTAAATAATATCCTATAGTCTTTGAGAATTAACAAAATAAAAGCTAGACAATCAGGCCCCCGTTGATTTTGTTATAATGTTTGAGCATAAGAACACCTCATTAGCCATGTCAGAATGACATGGCTAATGAATTTTAGGAAATAGAATTTTAGGAAATAGCTTAAAAACTGCAACATTTTCTCTCAAGCTCCATGACTAAATGTATATAATTGAAGGAAATTTGCTTGACTTTCAGGTCCATGGCAGGATGTGTGGAATTGCAAGAGATTAGCTTTGAAACCGCACATTTTACTAGCAGCTGCCAAGATCATATTTTTTACTTATTCTTTAGTCTGTGTATGTTTTTTTTCCACCGCACAACCCTTATGGTGGGTCACAAAGCAAAAAGGTTTGAGAACCCATGGTCTAGGGTATCCGGGATGATGCTGTTGATGTGAGCCATGACCAGCCTTTCAAAGCACTTCATGGCTACCGACGTGAGTGCTACGGGGCGGTAATCATTTAGGCAGGTTACCTTCGCATTCTTGGGCACAGGGACTATGGTGGTCTGCTTGAAACATGTAGGTATTACAGACTCGGTCAGGGAGAGGTTGAAAATGTCAGTGAAGACACTTGCCAGTTGGTCAGCGCATGCTCGGAGTACCCGTCCTGGTAATCTGTCTGGCCCTGCGGCTTTGGGAATGTTTTTTTTTGTTGTTGGTATTTTACCCCCTTTTTCTCCCCTATTTCGTGGTATCCAATTGGTAGTTACAGTCTTGTCCCATCATTGCAACTCCCGTACGGACACGGGAGAGGCGAAGGTCGAGAGTCGTGCATCCTCCGAAACTCAACCCAACCGAGCCGCACTGCTTCTTGACACAATGCCCGCTTAACCCGGAAGCCAGCCGCACCAATGTGCCGGAGGAAACACTGTACACCTGCCGACCGAGTCAGCGTGCACTGTGCCCGGCCAGCCACAGGAGTCGCTAGTGCGCGATGGGACAAGAACATCCCTGCCGGCTGTTATGATGAGTTTCTCAAGTATCAAGTAGTTCATGATGCAAGAAGATATTTAACACTTAGATGGAGAGTTGATACAAATATTTAATAGACACGTTACCATGGTTCGTCTAACAAAAGCGCATGCTTCGCCTCTTTTCATCCGAACTACTAGACAAATAAAATATCTCTCTTCTTATAGTCCATGTTACATATTGCTTCCACAACATCTGTTAACCATCAGTGGGCACTCCCTTCTTTGATGGTATTACCCTGTACCCAAGTCAGTATATTCTATCTATCAATCATTCTAAGATAAACCACCAGTAAGCTCCCTTGACATACTGGAATCCAGACTCTGTGGCACCAAGAATCACTTACAGTGGGGAAAAAAAGTATTTAGTCAGCCACCAATTGTGCAAGTTCTCCCACTTAAAAAGATGAGAGAGGCCTGTAATTTTCATCATAGGTACACGTCAACTATGACAGACAAAATGAGGGAAAAAAATCCAGAAAATCACATTGTATGATTTTTAATGAATTTATTTGCAAATTATGGTGGAAAATAAGTATTTGGTCAATAACAAAAGTTTCTCAATACTTTGTTATATACCCTCTGTTGGCAATGACACAGGTCAAACGTTTTCTGTAAGTCTTCACAAGGATTTCACACACTGTTGCTGGTATTTTGGCCCATTCCTCCATGCAGATCTCCTCTAGAGCAGTGATGTTTTGGGGCTGTCGCTGGGCAACACGGACTTTCAACTCCCTCCAAAGATTTTCTATGGGGTTGAGATCTGGAGACTGGCTAGGCCACTCCAGGACCTTGAAATGCTTCTTACGAAGCCACTCCTTCGTTGCCCGGGCGGTGTGTTTGGGATCATTGTCATACTGAAAGACCCAGCCACGTTTCATCTTCAATGCCCTTGCTGATGGAAGGAGGTTTTCACTCAAAATCTCACCATACATGGCCCCATTCATTATTTCCTTTACACGAATCAGTCGTCCTGGTCCCTTTGCAGAAAAACAGCCCCAAAGCATGATGTTTCCACCCCCATGCTTCACAGTAGGTATGGTGTTCTTTGGATGCAACTCAGCATTCTTTGTCCTCCAAACACGACGAGTTGAGTTTTTACCAAAAAGTAATATTTTGGTTTCATCTGACCATATGACATTCTCCCAATCCTCTTCTGGATCATCCAAATGCACTCTAGCAAACTTCAGACGGGCCTGGACATGTACTGGCTTAAGCAGGGGGACACGTCTGGCACTGCAGGATTTAAGTCCCTGGCGGCGTAGTGTGTTACTGATGGTAGGCTTTGTTACTTTGGTCCCAGCTCTCTGCAGGTCATTCACTAGGTCCCCCCGTGTGGTTCTGGGATTTTTGCTCACCGGTCTTGTGATCATTTTGACCCCACGGGGTGAGATCTTTCGTGGAGCCCCAGATCGAGGGAGATTATCAGTGGTCTTGTATGCCTTCCATTTCCTAATAATTGCTCCCACAGTTGATTTCTTCAAACCAAGCTGCTTACCTATTGCAGATTCAGTCTTCCCAGCCTGGTGCAGGTCTACAATTTTGTTTCTGGTGTCCTTTGACAGCTCTTTGGTCTTGGCCATAGTGGAGTTTGGAGTGTGACTGTTTGAGCTTGTGGGCAGGTGTCTTTTATACTGATAACAAGTTGAAACAGGTGCCATTAATACAGGTAACGCGTGGAGGACAGAGGAGCCTCTTAAAGAAGAAGTTACAGGTCTGTGAGAGCCAGAAATCTTGCTTGTTTGTAGGTGACCAAATACTTATTTTCCACCATAATTTGCAAATAAATTCATTAAAAATCATACAATGTGATTTTCTGGATTTTTTTCCCTCATTTTGTCTGTCATAGTTGACGTGTACCTATGATGAAAATTACAGGCCTCTCTCATCTTTTTAAGTGGGAGAACTTGCACAATTGGTGGCTGACTAAATACTTTTTTTCCCCACTGTATCTAATAAATATAACCTTGTTTCCACAACACTATGACAAGACATCATAACAATCCTTCATTTTTTGCCCTTTGTGGTAAGTAACACTCCTTAAATATAACTTTACTTAACCCTAACAATTCACATATAACCTCATATAAAATAAAATGTTCTCCAAAAAGTAGTATAGATATATGATTAGAGCCTAAACTATGCTAGATAACTGAGAATTCATCCCCCTCTACCTTCTTCTATACCTGAAACCAAACAGATTTTCAATATATTTAATAAACAAAGGTATACATTCCCAGTCACTTAGCTCATGCACCATCAAACCTCTCAAACCTTTATGTAGTCAGTCTGAGTAAAAGATAGATACATGATTAACTACTATATATTCATGCTAAAAAAATCTATGTAGTCAACCTTACTCTTTTTTAAATGACACCCGTGTATACATAATTGTATACAAAATATACCCATCATCTTAGACATGCTACCAAGAAAAACATACATATAAATTCTTCCACACAAATACAATGATACATTACACTCTAAGTTACATGGAGCTTATAATATATTCAGATGAATATATCTCAATATAAATAACGTCAGTCTTCTTCATCCATGTTCATTCAGAGGAACCCCAAACTTTTCTCTGGTCACTTGGGGCGCTATCTGATCGACTGAGTTAGTCTTGTTTCCACATCTTCAAACCTGTAAACCTTAACTTCCACGTTATACAGTTCCAATTTAACATTCCCCATTCCTCAATCAACATTGTCAATGAACTCTACACTGGAATAAGATGAAGAATTAGTACTCTTAAACCTTCCTGTATGTCTCTAATATTTCCCATATATTTAGTTAAATTCACAAGACCTTCCTAATCCTGATGGCAAGTATGTACAACATGCATCTCCCCATATAATCCCATACATTCCCCCTCTATCTACAATAATAGCATCCAATGCTATGCGATTATCAATTGCATAGTGGCCAATGAGTGACATTTCAGACCCAATTGCTTGAAAATCCAAGACTGTTAATAGGTACAATATTCAACTCTTTTCAACTCTGTTCTGATAATATGCCTGAGGAGAGATACACAGGATAACACTCTGTTTTCAGTCCCTGTTAAATCAGTACAGCCCTGAACTAGTTAGGATTGAGAAATTCAACCAAAAGTCAGATCAGATGAAAATAGCATAAACATTCCTATGTCTCAAATACCAAAACCACAAGATGGAAACCAATTAAGTTATTGCCTAGAAACAAAGATATATATATATATACCACTCTAAACATCCATATCAACCTTCCCTCTTTGGGTATACATAGTCACCTATCAATACCTCCAAATACTTCAAATGTATATATTGACTAATATGTTAATACGTTAACCTAATAATCAACATGTTCATGATATCAGTCACAATCCTTACATTAACTTACATGTTCCAAACAGTATAATTCAAAAATGTCTACTCAAAATAAATAATGTGTATCCTAAGACATTACCATAATGTATCGCTGTTTTAAACCTAATATCTATATAAGACAGTTATCTCAATTGTGCAAGCAATATCCTTCATGCTGAAAATATTTACTAATGATTTACTTAAATCACTGTCATCTTATAAATATAACCAAAACCAAATTACTTATCTCAACCAAATTTAGAATGACAATTCTTAGTGATTCACATTGGTCCTATCACTCAAAATTAAAACCCTTAACTTTTAGCACCCATTATAACTGTCAAAATGTACACTTATATTAACATACAGTATAAATATCCATAATTCTATTATGACCCTCCTAATCCCGAGAATAACTACAGATCATTATCTCAATGCATTCTTAATACTATTAATTTAGCAGTGTATATACCTCCTTCCCAAATTAGCAATTTTAGATAAATCCAAATGTATTATCAACACAGCTAAGTAATCCCCTTTTTCTCCGGCACGTTAATCTTCTGGCGTCTCTTCATTATGTTCTTCAGACAGCTTCATATTTGAAAATGAATTGCCCATGACAATGTCACGACTTCAATGTCTCATCCGAGTCACCACCATCCCTACAACCTCATTGTGTCTTGTCCATTTGCCAACCAGTATACCAACAACATGAGAAATGTTGTATTTGAACAGATATTTCTCCATTCTCACTCAATGGTGGACTCCTGTCCCACTCCCTCGATATAAAAACATGAGATAAAATCCGTTGATAGCTTCAATTGGCTGTTGTAGACCGGTTGCATGTAGAAGTGGTGCTTTACAGGAACGTCTTCAACGCCTCTGATGTTCATCTTCAGCCGGTACAGAGGTTGTTTCTTTTTTAAGGTTCACACCATTCTAGGCCAAATTATCCCTGCTATGCATCAAGACACCATCTGTATTTACCTCACTAGAAGACAGATCATAACAGTTTAATTGATTTCAAGCAATCCATATAAGCATTGACTAGATTACAAATTATTATGTTTTACCAATTATTCTTAATACCAATTTCTAATATACTCCCCAATTTCTGTTAGGTAAACCCTCCAAATACAGATAAGTGAATGGTGTGACAGTCAGGTGATTCTTGAAGTTCTGGTAGATCTTGAAGTTCTTGGAGGTCTGAACCTTCTTCCTTCACTAGGGTTTAGGATCATACAGAGTCCTTCTCCATTTATCAACATCGCTCTGTGTAGTGTGTCCTTCTGTCAACGTACTAAAAGGGAAGTTGAGAGTCCCTACTGCAAAGAGACACAAAATAAAACAATTCTCCGCCGTGGCGGTGCCATCTTCCTCCTCTGAGTTAGAATACTCTTACAGTGGGACACATAGATCTAGGAATCTGTCTCTGCTACTTTCCCCTCCATCGAGGTATCCAGCAACACCTAGTACTGACCTCCCCATCTAGAGTTTGTCCAGCTCTTACCTCTGCAATCCAAAGCCTCCAAGGTGCAGAAAATGCCCAGATTCTCCTGTTAGGTTAGGCAGAGTTGCCTTCACCCTTAGGAAGAAAGTCTTAGCAACATTGTTAGGTGAGACACCTTATGCTACTATACCCTGTCTTCTCATCAGTCAGGAGAAGCCTTGATATTAGGAATTGCACATCTTGCAGCTTGTTATAGGTCACTAGTTTCATAGACAGGCCTCCTCTACATCCTGCCTTATACCACAAATACACTTTCACCTAAATAAATGTAGTCTAACCCATAACACATTAATTACTACTGCTCATATTCTTACTACAATTTGCATATTTACCCAAAAATCCTCATGCGATCAATACTACCCCTCTTTGGACACATGACTCACATTGTGATTCATGCGTTCATAAACTACAACAACAACATTGCCTGTTAAACCAAAATAATACATGAAATTAAAATGACAACATTTGATAATACCTTCACTTACTTGTATCCCATAAAGTAATTCAAGTAATATCAACATTGACTAGCGCCAGGTGTTCCTCATTCAGGACTAGCTCTCTCACTCTGACCTTATTATGGTCCGACTCATATATATGACTATTGCCAAATTATAAACTTCTTCATAATTATCAGTATTATAAATTACCTTCAACCCGGTATAATAAATTACCTTAAATTCCTCATCCCATGCCTCTACAGTCGTGGTCAAAAGTTTTGAGAATGACACAAGTATTGGTCTTCACAAAGTTCGCTGCTTCAGTGTTATGAGATATTTTTGTCAGATGTTACTATGGTATACTGAAGTATAATTACAAGCATTCCATAAGTGTCAAAGGCTTTTATTGACAATTACATTACGTTTATGCAAAGAGTCAATATTTGCAGTGTTGACCCTTCTTTTTCAAGACCTCTGCAATCTGCCCTGGCATGCTGTCAATTTACTTCTGGGCCACCTTCTGACTGATGGCAGCCCATTCTTGCACAATCAATGCTTGGATTTTGTCAGAATTTGTGGGTTTTTGTTTGTCCACCCGCCTCTTGAGGATCGACCACAAGTTCTCAATGGGATTAAGGTCTGGGGAGTTTCCTGGCCATGGACCCAAAATGTCTATGTTTTGTTCCCCGAGCCAGTTAGTTATCACTTTTGCCTTATGGCAAGGTGCTCCATCATGCTGGAAAAGGCATTGGTCGTCACCAAACTGTTCTTGGATGGTTGGGAGAAGTTGCTCTCGGAGGATGTGTTGGTACCATTCTTTATTCATGGCTGTATTCTTAGGCAAAATTGTGAGTGAGCCCACTCCCTTGGCTGAGAAGCAACCCCACACATGTATGGTCTGAGGATGCTTTACTGTTGGCATGACACAGGACTGATGGTAGCGCTCACCTTGTCTTTTCCAGATGCCCCAAACAATCGGAAAGGGGATTCATCAGAGAAAATGACTTTACCCAAGTCCTCAGCAGTCCAATCGTTGTACCTTTTGCAGAATATCAGTCTGTCCCTGATGTTTTTCCTGGAGAGAAGTGGCTTCTTTGCTTCCATTCTTGACACCAGGCCATCCTCCAAAAGTCTTCGCCTCACTGTGCGTGCAGATGCACTCACAACCTGCCTGCTGCCATTCCTGAGCAAGCTCTGCACTGGTGGTGCCCCGATCCCGCAGCTGAATCAACTTTAGGAGACGGTCCTGGTGCTTGCTGGACATTCTTGGGCACCCTGACACCTTCACAACAATTGAACCTCTCTCCTTGAAGTTCTTGATGATCCGATAAATGGTTGATTTAGGTGCAATCATACTAGCAGCAATATCCTTGCCTGTGAAGCCCTTTTTGTGCAAAGCAATGATGACGGCACGTGTTTCCTTGCAGGTAACCATGGTTAACAGAGGAAGAACAATGATTTCAAGCACCACCCTCCTTTTAAAGCTTCCAGTCTGTTGTTCTAACTCAATCAGCAAGACAGTGATCTCCAGCCTTGTCCTCGTCAACACTCACCTGTGTTAACGAGAGAATCACTGACATGATGGCAGCTGGTCCTTTTGTGGCAGGGCTGAAATGCAGTGGAAATGTTTTTTGGGGATTAAGTTCATTTTCATGGCAAAACTGAGGCAGCAGACTTTGTGAAAATTTGTGTCATTCTCAACTTTTGACCACATTTTTACATTTACATTTTAGTCATTTAGCAGACGCTCTTACCCAGAGCGACTTACAGTTAGTGATTCCTTTTTTGTATTTTTTCTCTTTTTTTTTGTTTGATTTTTAGTTAATATATTTTGCCTCTATTTTTTCATATTTTTATCTTCGTTGTTAAAAAAAAAAAAAAATATTTTTTTATACTGGCCCCCGTGGGAATCGAACCCACAACCCTGGCGTTGCAAACGCCATGCTCTATCAACTGAGCTACATCCCTGCCGGCCATTCCCTCCCCTACCCTGGACAACGCTGGGCCAATTGTGCGCCGCCCATGAGTCTCCCGGTCGCGGCCGGCTGCGACAGAGCCTGGATTCGAACCAGGATCTCTAGTGGCACAGTTAGCACTGCGATGCAGTGCCTTAGACCACTGCGCCACTCAGTGTGGGTGATCAATTCACACTAGAAAGTCAGGACAGTTCAGAGGTCATTCAAACCCTTCAAAGAAGCGTTCTATTCTATAGGATAAACTAATCATTAACAACAGTCAAAACATTTCATAAATGTTATGTATCCCAAGCGTACAGTAAGTCCTCATGACATTACTTCTCAAAAGAAATCGTGTTTACCCAAAACTCACTCATAAAAGAAAAAAACTTCATAAAGCTCCGTGTGTGCCCCTTTAAGACTTATCATCTTTGACCCGTTAAAACCCCCTAAAATCAAAATAACAACCCTATATTACCATTGTAATAGGTGGGTTGTGTGTGGTTATTTGAAAAACCCAATTGGAAAACAACAAACAAAAATAGCCAGGCCTTATTTAATTTGGTAGCTCCCTCTTATGGCCTAATTATAAGACTGCCAAATTTTACTAACTGCTCCCCCCAGCCTTGGGAAACATTCCAATGAGAGATAAGGAAATCCCCATTCTCCTGGAAGAGAAAGTATACATTTCGTTAACAAATAGTAATTACACAAAACATGATGCAGATATACACTGTCCTACCTCACATCAATAATCGTTTGTTTCAATCTAATTCCTCATAACTACTCCAGAAGAAGATTACATAAAATCTCTCAAAAGATGAAAACCACTCAAGTTTCTCTTGAGTTTACAATGAGTATTTTTTTATTGATTACCCTTCAGACTTCATCCTCTGTAATTCTCACAATGATTATTCAACCCCTAAATCTGCTCCTTTTGATCCCATATCAAATTATCCTAGTATCGTTACTTGATCAACAACAGGAAATATCCGTTTCCCCTTATATTGTTCCTGTCACCCCTCTAAATGTCATATTTTATTCATTCGCCAATATAATCAATTACTCCGCGTAAGGAAGCCGTGATATTTTATCCCAGGCATCTATTTAAAAAATTTTTTGAGACATTGTCTCCTACTTTCCCTTAACATATACTGTAGGGGACTTCCATCAATCCTGGGAAAAACAACTCCCACTCAAAACACATCAGATAATACCACGTTTCATTAAGTTCACTACACCTTCCAATATAAACCTATAACCCCTTTTTGGTAATGTAATCATCTCCACTTGTTGCATTTATGTTTTAAAATAACAACCTATTGTTTAATAACTTCATAACTTACAAAACAATTTTACTACTCCACCAGCCTAATAATAAAAACTATCTCCCATTGTTCAACATTCCAGAAACAGATTATCGTTTTTAGAATTAATGAACTGTCTGCATAACCCACTGTTTAAACAAACTATAGAATTTAATAATAATAATTACAAATTGTCAAAGAACGTTCCCTATTCAACTATCTAGATATCTGCTCCACATTACCCTCTGCGTCCTTTACATCCCGATATAGCACAGCCAGCACGACTCTTTCACCCGTTTACTAAATCATGGCATTAGTAAATTATATCCACAAACCACTACTACCTAATAACATATTTTCATTGACCTTACTAGAAATAATAATTTTAATACCAGTCTATTCAAACAATCCAATTCAACATTTCTCATCTCCCAATTAACCTACTTTCCTTCTAACACAGAAAACCCTCTACAATCTATTTTATCCTCTACCGCTGTCTTTCCATCTAACGGTACTTTAGCAGGTTACAAATGATTGTGACGTTATAGTGAAAACAAACAAAACATATATTCACAGAGATGCAAATGTAATTACTATGTTATACTATCCGCCATGGGTTGGTAAGATAATCTCTTTCATATAATCGTATCAATTAAACCAGTGATTCAGGTCAACAGCATCAATTTAACAGTTTCGCTTCCGTCCTTACCTGGGCTTGAACCAGGGACCCTCTGCACACATCGACAACAGTCACCCTCGAGGCACCGTTACCTGTCGCTCCACAAAAGCCGCGGTCCTTGCAAAGCAAGGCAAACAACTACAACTACTTCCAGGTCACAGAGCAAGTTACGTCACCACTCTAAACGCTACTAGTTCGCACCACTAACTAGCTAGCCCTTTCACACCGGTAACATTCACCCCCCTTTGACTTCCTCCTTCTTCGCAGCAATCAGTGATCCGGGTACACCACATTTAACCCATTATGACACTTACAGCTCTCTCACGTTCAGCGAGCCCCAGTTGCTAACACCCGCAGATCAACACCTAGAAATTCTCCAGACAACAAATAAAAACTATTCTCAAAATGCGTTCTGCATTTACCTCTATCGTAGGGTTTAAAAACTAACTTAACAACATGAACAATCAATTGCTGTAGTAGCTTCATGTTTGGTTCAGTTTATCTGTTACGATATTGTGTCAGTAATATTTCTGTAGTGACCTCAGCTACAAGTTCCTATATTCCTCAGTTAATGTTATCTTTCATACTCTGCTCCCTTCCAACAAGGCTTCATAATCCCTGTTGTATTTTTTATATTCATTTTATTCTCTGAGTTCCCTTGCTTCATTTCCCATTAAGATAAGACACTCGCTTCCCTGTGCTTCGGCACTACACCCTTATTTTCCCCTGTTATCAACTAAGATCATAGCCACAGCTTATGAAACCACCAATCCGTCATTATTAGAATACAGCAGATCTAGGTAACTGTCCTTTCTAAGCAGGCTACAAGCAATAAACCAAACACTTGCTGTAGTTGACAACATTATTTTGAATTTATATCCATAGTATCAATATCCAATATATGGATTGACATTACACCCCCATTCTCACTCGTTTAATCTAGCAAACCCGTAGGCAACGCAAAAAAAATTACTACCACACAATCGTCTCGCTATTCCTGTTAAATAATGGTCATTCAATTTGAACCAAGCACGCTGATAAATCTTCGATTCTACATCACCAAACCAAATACTTTGTAGTATCTGTCTAAGCAACACATACCAACAGTAGAATTACACTCAGAAACCCAGATTTGTTTACTCTATGCCATTGCCCCAATGCTATTGAAATGACACAGACATCCCACAAATAGCGCAGTTACAATGGTTTGTCGTCTTAACATCTGATCCATAATGAAATTCCTTCACTTCCTCACCATAGCTCCTCAATGATAATTAGTTTAATGGAAACCCTGAATTGGCTTTGTACTATATTTATAAATTCCAGTCCTTATGGGCAGTTTATTTCTTAAACCTTATCTCTATCACGTGATCCATAAACGGCACCAACTCAGAAAACGTGTATTTATCGTGTCTCACACCCAACGTACGTCTACGTTTGGGTGAGCAAGTTAATTCATACATACAACTCTATTATTTTCTCACTTCTCTAGTAATCGATTACACACAAACTTCTTCCTATTTTCGCATCGTCACAAACTCCATATAGAACGTTAGAAACTTCTAGGTACTCACATCAAAGAATACTTTTTTTTTTTTTTTTACGATCCTCACTCAACACATCAACTTCTTCAACCATATTCCCAGCGGAACCAAAAAAAAAAGACTAGTTTTCCGGACACTACCCCGCCTTTCATTGGATCCTCCCCGAAAATACAGACTTTTCCGCTACTCTCTAAAATAATATCACTCTCTCCATACCACTCCTTGATATTCTATTACCTAATTCTGTTGACTCCCCTTTGTTTTTATTAGTTCATGCAATGAATACTTAAATAAAATCCCCAACTTGATCTTTATTAAAATTTAGTTTGCCTATTTTGTCTTTGGTGCTATGATTCAACAGGCTCACTTGTATCTGCTCTGATTCTTTATGCAGTATGATTTATTGTTTTCTCTCTCTCCATTCTGAGTAATTCACACAGGACCAATTCTTTCTTTACCACAGTACTCTACTCATTAATTTGGACTTCTCCTCTATAGTGTTGTTACTCCCTTAATCAATTGTCTTATTTTAACTGTAACCTTCTACCAAGGACTTTAATCTTCACCAAAATACTAATTTTCTCATAGGGCTTTTATAACCTTCTACCAAGGACTTTAACCTTCATCCCTAAGCTTGCTGAGGACTTGAACCTCACAACTTTTCACATTATAATGTCGTCATATCTTAGGACTCAAACCTCTGACCTATTTTTAAATGTCGTAAACCTTAACAAATGTTGTTGATGACTTAAACATCATAACAAAGGACTCTAACATTCATCCCTAAGCTTGCTGAGGACTTGAACCTCACAACGTTTCACATTATAATGTCGTCATATCTTAGGACTCGAACCTCTGACCTATTTTATAATGTCGTACCCATTAAAAGACCCTACACCCAATCTTGTTAAACCCATTCTCCTTCTCTGTTGTTTTTAGTCATTACTCTGAACAAACCCTTCTTAGAATCATAGCACCATGTTATTGTCTAATTTGATCATTCTCCTTACATCCCTTCTACACAACTCAACACCACTCATCGTCCCCCTTTTAAAAATATTGAATCTTAAACGTTCTTTACTGCTCAGCCTTACCACAGATAAGCAGAATTTGACATAATAAAAAAATGAAAGTCTGCTTACCTGTTAGTTCGGCTGTAAACTGCATCCTGTTAGTTTAGACACCAATCTGTTATGATGAGTTTCTCGGGTATCAAGTAGTTCATGATGCAAGAAGATATTTAACACTTAGATGGAGAGTTGATATAAATATTTAATAGACACGGTACCGTGGTTCGTCTAACAAAAGCGCATGCTTTGCCTCTTGTCATCCGAACTACTAGACAAAGAAAATATCTCTTCTTATAGTCCATGTTACATATTGCTTCCACAACATCTGTTAACCATCAGTGGGCACTCCCTTCTTTGATGGTATTACCCTGTACCCAAGTCAGTATATTCTATCTATCAATCATTCTAAGATAAACCACCAGTAAGCTCCCTTGACATACTGGAATCCAGACTCTGTGGCATCTAAAAAATATAACCTTGTTTCCACAACACTATGACAAGACATCATAACACCGGCCAAACCCTCCCCGACCCTGGACGGCGCTGGGACAATTGTGCGCCGCCCCATGGGTCTCCCGGTCGCGGCCGGCTGTGACAGAGCCTGGACTCGAACCAGGATCTCTAGTGGCACAGCTAACACTGCGATGCAGTGCCTTAGACCACTGCGCCACTCGGGAGGCCAGCTTTGTGAATGTTGACCTGTTTAAAGGTCTTGCTCACATCGGCTACCGAGAGCGTTATCACACAGTTGTCCGGAACAGCTGGTGCTCTCATGCATGCTTCAGTGTTGCTTGCCTCGAAGCGAGCATAAAAGGCATTTAGCTCGTCTGGTAGGCTCGCGTCACTGGGCAGCTCGCGGCTTGGTTTCCCTTTGTAGTCGTAATAGTTTTCAAGCCCTGCCACATCTGACTGGCGTCAGAGCTGGTGTAGTAGGTTTCAATCTTAATCCTGTATTGACACTTTGCATGTTTGATGGTTCGTCTGAGGGCGTAGCAGGATTTCTTATAAGCGTCCAGATTAGTGTCCCGCTCCTTGAAAGCGGCAGCTCTAGCCTTTAGCTCATTGCCGATGTTGCCTGTAATCCATGGCTTCTGGTTGGGATATGTACGTATGGTCACTGTGGGGACGACGTCGTCGATGCACTTATTGATGAAGCCAATGACTGAGGTGGTATACTCCTCAATGCCATTGGATGAGTCCCGGAACATATTCCAGTCTGTGCTAGCAAAACGGTTCTGTAGCGTAGCATAGCGTCAACAATGCTGTGTTTGTGTTCCAGAGCCTCTCAGACCCTAACAACTACCATGAGTTTTGTCGTCTGTTGGCGCGACTGAAGAGTAACTACCAGCTGGGAGAGCTGGTCAAAGTAGAAAACTACCCAGAAGTCATCAGGCTTATAGCCAACTTCACTGTCACCAGTCTACAGGTACTATGTGTGTGTGTGAGACCCCAAGGGTAGATTGGTGCGTGTCTTGGTAAACAGACAGACATTTCATAAATAGTCCTTCTTAAATCTGTCCTCCTATACCTCTCAATGATCTTGTTAAATGCAAGCGTTAACGTTCTGCAGAAAACCTTATTGTCATTGTTATATGTTCACTTTTTTATATTGTGTGTGTGTTGCAGCACTGGGAGTTTGCCCCTAACTCTGTCCACTACCTGTTGAGCCTGTGGCAGCGCCTGGCAGCGTCTGTCCCTTATGTTAAAGCCACCGAGCCTCACCTGCTAGAGACCTACACACCTGAAGTCACCAAGGCCTACATCACCTCACGCCTCGAGTCTGTCTGCATCATCCTAAGGTAACACACACACACACACACACACACACACACACACACACACACACACACACACACACACACACACACACACTAACAGATCAAATGATGAAACGTTGAAATCATTTTCACGTGTGTGTGTAGGGATGGGTTAGAGGACCCTCTAGATGACGCAGGGTTAGTCCAGCAGCAGTTAGACCAGCTCTCCACCATCGGTCGCTGTGAATACGAGAAGACCTGTGCCCTATTGGTCCAGCTCTTTGACCAATCAGCACAGACCTACCAGGAACTACTGCAGTCTACCAACTCTAGTACCATCGACATCACTGTCCAGGAGGGTACGTCTCTTTCCCTCTCAATCAATCAATGAAATATGTCAAAATATAGCTTTTAACAACACATGTTTTTGTTACCAGGCAGGTTTTTATGGTTGGTTTATATAATTATATTTCTATATCTACAGGGAGGTTAACATGGTTGGTGTATATAATCGGAGCGGTCATTGGAGGAAGAGTGTCCTTCGCCTCCACAGATGAACAAGACGCCATGGATGGAGAACTAGTCTGTCGGTACGTCCACACACAAGTAACCTCACCCTAACCAATACCGCTACCTATTAGTAAAGTAAAGTATTTGATCCCCTGCTGATTTTGTACGTTTGCCCACTGACAAAGAAATGATCAGTCTATAATTTTAATGGTAGGTTTATCTGAACAAAAAATCCAGAAAAACGCATGTCAAAAATGTTATAAATTGATTTACATTTTAATAAGGGAAATAAGTATTTCACCCCTCTGCAAAATACGACTTAGTACTTGGTGACAAAACCCTTGTTGGCAATCACAGAGGTCAGACGTTTCTTGTAGTTGGCCACCAGGTTTGCACACATCTCAGGAGGGATTTTGTTCCACTCCTCTTTGCAGATCTTCTCCAAATCATTAAGGTTTCGAGGCTGACGTTTGGCAACTCGAACCTTCAGCTCCCTCCACAGATTTTCTATGGGATTAAGGTCTGGAGACTGGCTAGGCCACTCCAGGACCTTAATGTGCTTCTTCTTGAGCCACTCCTTTGTTGCCTTGGCCGTGTGTTTTGGGTCATTGTCATGCTGGAATACCCATCCATTTTGGTCTCATCTGACTACAACACTTTCACCCAGTTCTCCTCTGAATCATTCAGATGTTCATTGGCAAACTTCAGACAGCCCTGTATATGTGCTTTCTTGAGCAGGGGGACCTTGCGGGCGCTGCAGGATTTCAGTCCTTCACGGCGTAGTGTGTTACCAATTGTTTTCTTGGTGACTATGGTCCCAGCTGCCTTGAGATCATTGACAAGATCCTCCCGTGTAGTTCTGGGCTGATTCCTCACCGTTCCCATGATCATTGCAACTCCACGAGGTGAGATCTTGCATGGAGCCCCAGGCCGAGGGAGATTGACAGTGCTTTTGTGTTTCTTCCATTTGCGAATAATCGCACCAACTGTTGTCACCTTCTCACCAAGCTGCTTGGCGATGGTCTTGTAGCCCATTCCAGCCTTGTGTAGGTCTACAATCTTGTCCCTGACATCCTTGGAGAGCTCTTCGGTCTTGGCCATGGTGGAGAGTTTGGAATCTGATTGATTGATTGCTTCTGTGGACAGGTGTCTTTTATACAGGTAACAAGCTGAGATTAGGAGCACTCCCTTTAAGAGTGTGCTCCTAATCTCAGCTCGTTACCTGTATAAAAGACACCTGGGAGCCAGAAATCTTTCTGATTGAGAGGGGGTCAAATACTTATTTCCCTCATTTAAAATGCAAATCAATTTATAAAACATTTTTTACATGCGTTTTTCTGGATTTTTTTGTTGTTATTCTGTCTCTCACTGTTCAAATAAACCTACCATTAAAATTATAGACTGATCATTTCTTTGTCAGTGGGCAAACGTACAAAATCAGCAGGGGATCAAATACTTTTTTCCCTCACTGTACGTAAGTATTCAGACCATTTGCTATGAGAATCGAAATTGAGCTCAGGTGCATCCTGTTTCCATTGATCATCCTTGAGATGTTTCTACAACTTGTTTGGAGTCCACCTGTGGTAAATGAAATTGATTGGACATGATTTGGAAAGGCACACACCACATAAGCTTATGTAACCCAATAATGCAAGCTCGGATATTGCAAAAATGTAGAATACAAGTAGTCATTGTCTACCCTACATAAACAAACAAACAACATTAGGATATCTTAAAGAATTTTGGAAATATAGACCTGTAAACACAGACTAACTAGGTTTCCGTCCAATTGGCGACAGACTTTCATGAGAATATATATTTTTTTTAGCATAAAACAATATGCGCATTTTCCTACCAGAGATGTGTTTTCATCAAATTGACTTGTTGCAGGTAAAAGGCTGTGCATGATGACGTTGTGCACATTTAAAATACATTTTGCGGTTAAATTCCAATGTACTGAATAAAAAATACAAGTTAAATGGGTTTCCATTGCATTTTTAACTCTACTGATGGTTTTCTCACAAAACATTTTGCGTTGTATAGTGAGTGTGCCCATTCTGGTATTGGCACGTGTGCTCTAGCCAACAGCGCTATCTGTGCACTGTTGGCTAGAACGCACGTATAGCCTACATGATGAGATTATTATGGATAAAAGAGCAATCATTTTTATTTGGCAAACGGCAGCCAAGCATTGATGTCACCAGAATAAAACCCTCTATTTATTGGAAAGGAGCATCAAGCTCATCACCTTGCACTTTCACCACCCTGTGAAGTTCATCATAACTGACTTCATCTGTAGCCTAATAAACTGCATGCTTTCCCGACGAGTTGTAGTGGGAGGACCACACAACATGTCATCGCGATATGATGGTTATTATATCAATATTTGCGCATAAAAGCTTTTCCACTGACATTTCTTGCATAATTAATTATACCGACACAAAAAGATCTCACCTTTTGTTTTGTCGACATTTGGAATGTTTACCCCCCCAAAAAAAAATTCCGATCAGGCCTGTCATTACATTTATTTTCCCGACATGTACTTTTACTCGCATTAAAAAGGTTGAATGGAAATCTGGTTATTGTAAACTTCAGTTTTTGGTAGCTGTTCAATAGACAACTTTCCAAGTCACATTTGCTGTTATTCAGTGCTGTGTGGTCTTGCATTGCAAAAATGCATACAGTTACACATGTTTTTTTGATGATGTGGATTTTTTAATCTGCTCTAAAGCAGGTGGGCTCAGACACTGAAAACCGTAATTTTTTCCAGTCAAAGGTTCCTCTGTGGATTTTATGTTTAGCCCCTACTCTTGCAATTTAGTTGGGGGCCCCCCTAGATTTGACTCCAAGTCCAAAATTCAATATGGCTGCCACATTACCATTTAAATTGTGGTTTAGTCACCTGTATATGTAAACTTTTTAAATTATAAATTTTTCAGATTTGTGTACTGTACTTATGACTTGTACTCAATACTATTTTTGTGTACTTCAACTAAACTATATATACAAAATAATTTGGACACCCCTTCAAATTAGTGGATTCGGCTATTTCAGCCACACCTGTTGCTGACAGGTGTATACAATTGAGCACACAGCTATGCAATCTCCATAGACAAACATTGGCAGTAGAATGGCCTTACCGAAAAGCTCAGTGACTTTCAACGTGGCACCGTCCTAGGATACCATCTTTCCAACAAGTCAGTTCGTCAAATTTCTGCCCACTAGAGCTGCCCGGTCAACTGTAAGTGCTGTTATTGTGAAGTGGAAACGTCTAGGAGCAACAACGGCTCAGCCGCGATGTGGTAGGCCACACAAGCTCACAGAACAGGACCGGCAAGTGCTGAAGCGCGTAAAAATCGTCTGTCCTCGGTTGCAACACTCACAACAGAGTTCCAAACTGCCTCTGGAAGCAACGTCAGCACAAGAACTGTTCGTCGCGAGCTTCATGAAATGGGTTTCCATGGCCGAGCAGCCATGCGCAATGCCAAGCTTCGGCTGGAGTGGTGTAAAGCTTGCCGCCATTGCACTCTGGAGCAGTGGAAATGTGTTCTCTGGAGTGATGAATCACGCTTCACCATCTGGCAGTCCGACGGACGAATCTGGGTTTGGTGGATGCCAGGAGAACGCTACCTTCCCCAATGCATAGTGCCAACTTCCTGTGTAGGAAGAATAATGGTCTGGGGCTGTTTTTCATGGTTTGGGCTTGGGCCCCTTAGTTCCAGTGAAGGGAAATCTTAACACTACAGCATACAATTACATTCTAGACGATTTTGTGCTTCCAACTTTGTGGCAACAGTTTGGGGAAGGCCCTTTCCTGTTTCAGCATGACAATGCCCACGTGCACAAAGCGAGGTCCATACAGAAATGGTTTGTCGAGATTGGTGTGGAAGAACTTGACTGGCCTGCACAAGAGCCCTGACCTCAACCCCATCGAACACCTTTGGGATGAATTGGAACGCCGACTGCGAGCCAGGCCTAATTGCCCAACATCAGTGCCCGACCTTATTAATGCTCTTGTGGCTGAAATGGAAGCAAGTCCCCGTAGCAATGTTTCAACATCTAGTGGAAAGCCTTCCCAGAAGAGTCGAGGCTGTTATAGCAGCAAAGGGGGGACCACCTCCATATTAATGCCCATGATTTTGGAATGAGGTGTTCGACAAGCAGGTGTCCACATACTTTTGGTCATGTAGTGTACGTTAGGAATCCAGTATGCCCACCATATACACTCAAACACCTTTGTCTGGATATATAAAAATGGCAGCAGACTGCTTGGCATGGCAACACCAAGTATTCCAAGTCACAAGTGCCTCTGGGGATCAATGAGAAATAACAGAAAAGTAATAACACATAATACAAAAGCAATAATAAATACACAATGAGTAATGATAACTTGGCTTTATACACGGGGTACCAGTACCGAGTCGATGTGCAGGGGTACGAGGTACAGTGCATTCAGAAAGTATTCAGACCCCTTGACTTTTCCACATTTTGTTACGTTACAGCCTTATTCTAAAATTGATTAAATGTTTTTTTCCCCCTCATAAATCTACACACACTACCCCAACATGACAAAGCAAAAACAGGTTTTTAGAAATTTTGGCAAATGTATTAAAAATATCAAACTGAAATATTACATTTACATAAGTATTCAGACCCTTCACTCAGTACTTTGTTGAAGCACCTTTGGCAGCGATTACAGCCTCGAGTCTTCTTGGGTATGACGCTACAAGCTTGGCACACCTGTATTTGGGGAGTTTCTCCCATTCTTCTCTGCAGATCCTCTCAAGCTCTGTCAGGTTGGATGGGGAGCGTCGCTGCACAGCAATTAGTATGTTGTTTTTTTGTTTAGTTTTTTTGCTTGTACTTTTTACCCCTTTTACTCCCCAAATTCGTAATATCCAATTGGTAGTTACAGTCTTGTAACTTGCAACTCCCGTGCGGACTCGGAGAAGCGAAGTTCGAGATCCATGCATCCTCCGAAACACGACCCTGCCAAGCCGCACTGCTTCTTGACACACTGCTTGCTTAACCCGGAAGCCAGCCACACCAATGTGTGTGAGGAAACACCGTACAACTGGTGACCGAAGTCAGCGTTTATGTGCCCGGCCCGCCACGAGTCGCTAGAGCGTGATGGGACAAGGACATCCCGGCTGGCCAAACCCTCCCCTAACCCAGATGACGATGGGCCAATTGTGCGCCGCCCTATGGGACTCCTGATCACGACCGGTTGTGACACAGCCCGGGATCGAACCTGGGTCTGTAGTGACGCCTCTAGCACTGAGATGCAGTGCCTTAGACCGCTGCGCCACTCGGGAAGCACCGTGCTTGCTTTTTCTTGTCCAGATTGGTAACCCGTGTTCAGATTCCAAGTGACTTTTTCCAACTCTCATACGACCTCTTCTCGTCGAAGTGAGGTGGCACATAGTTAATAAATACAATCTTCTGAAACCAATGTGAACTCCAAATGACACAACGACTAGGTTCCAGTTTAGCAGCGTTTACTTCACAATATCAGCATGTTTTGTACACTCAGTGTATATGTCCTATTGTAAATATACCTCAGGATGCTGCAGCAGATGAATCAATCACAAGTGTGTGTCTCAGGGTGCTCCAGTTGATGAACCTAACAGACTCGCGTCTGGCCCAGGCGGGTAACGAGCGGTTGGAGTTGGCCATGCTCAGCTTCTTCGACCAGTTCAGGAAAATCTACATCGGAGACCAGGTGCAAAAGTCCTCCAAGGTAAATCATTTTACTGTTACCACACACACACAGTTATGTTTCAGACCTCACACAATTTAATGTTGAGATGAGTCCACATGTCATACCGTCTTTTGTTTAGATCGACAGCTATCTCTATCTCTCTCTGTTCCTCCCTAAGCATGACTAACTCTGTTACTATATCTCTCCTTTCTTCTCAAAGCATGACTAACTCTTACTATCACTCTCTCTCCCCCTTCCTCTCTAAGCATGACTAACTCTGTTACTATCTCAATTCAAAGGGCTTTATTGGCGTGAGAAACATGTGTTTACATTGCCATAGCAAGTGAAATAGATAATAAACAAATGTCATATGTCTATATACAGTGTTGTAACGATGTGCAAATAGTTAAAGTAAAAAAGGGAAAATAAATAAACATAAATATGGGTTGTACTTACAGTGGTGTTTGTTCTTCACTGGTTGCCATTTTCTTGTGGCAACAGGTCACAAATCTTGCTGCTGTGATGGCACACTGTGGTATTTCACCCAGTAGATATGGGAGTTTATCAAAATTGAATTTGTTTTCGGATTCTTTGTGGGTCTGTGTAATCTAAAGGAAATATGCGTCTCTAATATGGTTATACATTTGGCAGGAGGTTAGGAAGTGCAGCTCAGTTTCCACCTCATTTTGTGGGAAATGTGCACATAGCCTGTCTTCTCTTGAGAGCCAGGTCTGCCTACAGCGACCTCTCTCAGTAGCAAGGCAATGCCCTCTTCCTTCCTCTCTAAGCATGACTAACTCTGTTACTGTATCGCTCTCTATCCCTTCCTCTCTATGCCTGTAACTAGTGGGAGTTATGTTATATTTGAACTAGTAGCTCTTTTGTCTGTGGGTGTGTTAGTGCTGACACAGCCTTACAACTTTGACTGACTGAGTGTGTTTTCTTTGTGCTGGGCAGAGGCTGCAAAATGTGAACAGCCCAGATAAGTGGTGACAGTCGAGAGAGCAGCCCTCCCCCAACGTGTCTGTTTGGTTTGGTCTTATAGTTATCCTCCCCTACCCCTTCCTAGTGGCATGGTCAGTGTTACTGTTAACATGGTGGATAATGTAGGTGGAATCATGGCTAACCAGAGAGCTCCCCATGGAAGTGGGTTGGAGGCAGGGGAGAGTTCTGGAATACTTCATATGAAGTGGGGTGGAGGCAGGGGAGTTCTAGAATAGTTCATATGAAGTGAGGTAGAGGCAGGGCAAAGTTCTAGAATAGTTAATATGATGATGTTTGGAGGCGAGGGGAGAGTTCTAGAATAGTTCATATGATGAGGTTTGGAGGTGGGGGGAGTTCTAGAATAGTTAATATGATGAGGTTTGGAGGTGGGGGGAGTTCTAGAATAGTTAATATGATTAGGTTTGGAGGCGGGGGGAGTTGTAGAATAGTTAATATGAAGTTGGGTGGAGGCAGGGGAGTTGTAGAATAGTTAATATGATGAGGGTTCTGGAATGTCATTTCTGGGTGTGTATGTGTGAGATGGACTGTATGAGTCTGAGCTGTCAGAATAAAGAACACTCCAGACCTGCAGGAGATACACTCCCCTCTATGACACCCCCCACCCAAACCCCCTGATTCTTAGGCAAACCATCCTCAGCTCTGCTCAATTTAACACTAACTATCACACAGACTCTCTTGATCTCACTCACTCTCTACCTCACACACTACTGTACCTCAGAGCTCAGGGTTTGGTGGAATGTACAGCCATGTTGGGGAGATGAGAGCAGAGCTGATTGGTGGGTGTTTTTCTTTAACCCTGTGGAGATGTATGGCTGGTGTTACGCTACTGGCAGCTGTTACGGTTTGTGATAATGTCATAGTTGTCCTACTGTGTAGCTACTCTCTCTCCAGGGGATCTTCCAATGGTTAATGGTGTGTGTCTGTGTGTGTCTGTGTGTGTCTGTGTGTGTGTCCCAGCTATACCGGCGGCTGTCAGAGGTTCTGGGGCTGAATGATGAGACCATGGTACTCAGCGTCTTCATCGGAAAAATGTGAGTTTCAGCACTTCCTGTGTTACTACTACTACTACTACTACTACTACTACTACTACTACTGGTTCTATGGAGTAACCACTGATTGATTGATTACCATTTGTGATTGCAGCATCACCAATCTGAAGTACTGGGGCCAGTGTGAACCAATCACCTCCAAGACACTTCAGTTACTCAACGACCTCTCCATAGGATATCCTTTTGTGTGTTTGTGTGTGTGTGTGAGAAAAGGGTGGTGGTGGTGTTATATTCTGTTAAATTCCAGATCCTGTGTTGTCTCCTTGACGGTGTGTGTGTGTACGTACAGCAGTGTGAGGAAGTTGGTGAAACTCAGTGCAGTTCAGTTCATGCTGAACAACCACACAGTAAGTATGCTGACCTTTGACCCCTCACCCTGACCCCTAACACTAACCGCCTGAAACTCAATTTATGCTTTTTGATCCAGTTATTTTCCCATAATGCCCTTATCATTTCTCCTATGATGTCAGAGCGAGCACTTCTCCTTCCTGGGCGTGAACAACCAATCAAACCTCAGCGACATGAGGTGTCGCACCACGTTCTACACCGCACTGGGACGCCTGCTGATGGTCGACCTAGGTAGACACACACACACACCTATCTATCTCCAGTCTACAAAATGATCAGTAATGTTCTTATTTGGATAATTACAAACTTTTCATTATTTCACCTAGGGCTGTGATGATACCAGTATCATGAGATTGTTTCCATGGCAAAAATGAAAGCACGAAGCTGACCAAACTCTTTGGTCCTTTAAAAACCTGTTGTATGTAAAATATTGTGCGCTATAGCTTGGAAAGTAAATAAATCTAACTCTGGATGACAACATAATGGTGTTTGTTTCCAACATTAGGGCTGTTTTCCTAAAGAAGTTAAATCCGCTTCCTGTTTTGTTTCCTTGCCACGATACTAACGAGTATCGTGATACTGGTATTGTCCCAGCCCTACTTTCACCTTATTTTCATGTTGTGTGTGTGTGTAGGTGAGGATGAGGACCAGTTTGAACAATTCATGCTTCCCCTGACGGCAGCGTTTGAAGCAGTGGCTCAGATGTTCAGCACCAACACGTTCAACGAGCAGGAGGCCAAGAGGACGTTGGTAGGGCTGGTCAGAGACCTGAGAGGTATCGCCTTCGCCTTCAACGCCAAGACCAGCTTCATGATGCTCTTCGACTGGATGTATCCTACACTGACCCCTGACCTCTAACCTGACCCCTTATCCCTGACCTTTACGGACCAGGGGCCTGTTTAGGAGGTTGAAAGGTTGAAGAATGTTCAGATAGAAATGCATTGTGTAGAAGAGATATGACTGTCTATCGTAGAATAGGAAATCGCTGTAGAGTTGTGATTGGCAGATAGTGTTGTCCTTCACTTGAAGCAAAGAGTCTCATTGGTCGACAGTGTTGTCCTTAACCCCTCCCCCAGCTACCCAGCCTACATGCCCATCCTGCAGAGAGCTATTGAACTCTGGTACCACGTACCAGCATGCACCACTCCTGTCCTAAAGCTCATGGCCGAGCTAGTCCACAACAGGTACACAAACATGCACACAGTCAGAACCCTGACACTTCTCCCTCGACCTCTAACCCCTGACTTCTAACCCTGTGTAGGGATTAACACCAATTTCCCAACCAAGCGCCTTCCTGATCCCCCCCCCCCCCCCCAAAAAGAAAAAAACATGTGTAATGGTATCTCGAACAATAATATAACATTTCTGTGCCGCACTAATGCAAAAATAGAAAATATGTGACGCTAGAAACCTACATTATTTAGGCCAATAGAAAACGTCTATATGGCTTCTATAACTTACACTGTTACACACGACTTCTCGACGGAATCACGGTAGGTAATTTCCGTCCCAGGTTTCTCCTCTACAGTTTGTTCATTCATATAACTTCCCAAACTTCAGCTGTGTTGCACCACAGAGGCTCCAAAATATAAACTGCGGCTGCTGACTGCTAACAAAACGCCTAATACATTGTGTCTGCAAAAGTGCTCAAGGAAGTTGACATTTGCGACATTGTTCCGTGTTGTTACACTAACAAATGTGAGAGCACTGGCTTGACTAGAAGGTCAGATTCACAGATAATTGATCGGCAGCTGTCCATGGTGCTGATTCTATGCTATTTGGCGCTGTTTGCTTGTCTGTCACAAGGAAAATATCCAATGCTGCGCTAAACAAACAGTCACCACATAAGCGAGTTTTCATAGTAAAAACAGCCATAATCTTTCCAAATTCCCCTGATAGCCAGACAGCTGCTCTGCAAGGGGAGTGGACAGAGCCAACAAGCTGGGTGACGTCTTTCAGTCAACGGTAAAACGACCCTGTCATTTTCACTAGCTGTAATAACCTCATAATATTTTACCAGTCGAGCAAACAGTTTTTCATAGGCCTACGTTAAAACTATAGGCTACATCAACTAAATAGTGTGAGGACTTTGAGAGAAATTTGAGTTGATTCAATTACAACAAATACAACAAGAAACCGTTAGATACCTGCAAGTGTTTCTCAATTTATAGTGATATAATTATGTCCGTTACCCCTTTGCGGGTATTATATGCTTTTAGATAGCATTTCTGGTTTGAAATGGATCTCGGGATACCTGGGAAAGGCTTGTAATTTTCTCAGGATGTAAATGGAAATCCCTAACTCTGTTTCCAGGTCACAGAGGTTACAGTTTGACGTGTCGTCACCCAACGGAATCCTGCTGTTCAGAGAAACCAGCAAGATGATCACCACCTACGGTACTACACTCGTGTCCTTTTGCAACAGTTGCTGTGCACTCACTGGAGCAATGTAGTTGGTTGGTCAACCACACATTTTTTTTATATATTCATTTCCTTGGTTCTCGCTCTCCCCTTCTCCAGGTAACCGTATCCTGACCATCGGGGAGGTGCCTAAGGACCAGATGTACAGTGTGAAGCTGAAAGGTGTCAGTGTGTGTTTCTCCATGCTGAAGGCTGTGCTCTCTGGGAACTACGTCAACTTCGGGGTGTTCCGTCTCTATGGAGATGACGCACTGGACAACGCACTACAGACCTTCATCAAACTGCTGCTGTCCATACCACACAGCGACCTGCTGGTACACACACACTCCTCTCCATCCCTCACAGCGAAGTACTTTCCTGAACATTCTAAATATATCTGACAATGGCAGTTTCAGCAGACTTACCCCCCTTCTCTTTCTCCCTCCCCCCTTCTCTTTCTCCCTCCCCCCTTCTCTTTCTCCCTCCCCCCTTCTCCCCTCCCCCCTTATCTTTCTCCCTCCCCCTTCTCTTTCCCTCTCCCCCTTCTCCCTCCTCCTTTTCTTTCGCTCGCTCTCTTTCCCTCCTCTTTTTCCCTCTCTTTCTCCCTCTTTCTCTTTCTCTCACACTCCAGGACTATCCCAAGTTGAGCCAGTCATTCTACAGTCTGTTGGAGGTGTTGACTCAGGATCACATGAACTTCATTGCTTCTCTAGAGCCACATGTTGTCATGTACATACTGTCATCTATCTCCGAGGGACTCACTGCACTGGGTAATGTGTATATACACACACACTGCACCGGGAAATTATATATACACAGTATACCACTACACCGGGTAATATATACAGTGCCTTCAGAAAGTATTCACACCCCTTGACTTTTGTTGTATTACAAAGTGAGATTAAAATGTATTTAATTCTCATTTTTTGGTCAACGATCTACACAAAATACTCATGTCAAAGTGGAAGAAAAATTCGAACATTTGTAAAAAAATAAAAAATTACACGCTAATATATCTTGATTAGATTCAACCCCCATGTTAGAATCACATTTGGTAGCGATTACAGCTGTGAATGTTTCTGGGTACGTTTCTTGGGCGCTTACCACACCTGGATTGTACAATATTTGCCCATTTATTCTTTTAGAATTCTTCAAGCTCTGTCAAGTTGGTTGTTGATCATTGCTAGACAGCCATTTTCAAGTCTTGCCATAGATTTTCAAGCTGATTTAAGTCAAATCTGTAACTAGGCCACTCAGGAACATTCAACGTCGTCTTGGTAAGCAACTCCAGTGTAGATTTGGCCTCGTGTTTTAGGTTATTGTCCTGCTGAGGTTGAGTCTGTGGTTGAATCTGTATTTGAAATGTACTGCTCGACTAAGGGACCTTACAGATAATTGTATGTGTTGGGTACATAGATGAGGTAGTCATTAAAAAATAATGTTAAACACTATTATTGCACACAGTGAGTCCATGCAATTTATTATATAACTTATTTTGGCAGTTACCTGTATATACAGTGCTTTCGGAAAGTATTCAGACCCCTTGACTTTTTCAAATTTTTGTTACGTTACAGGCTTATTCTAAAATTGATTCAATTGTTTTTTTCTCATCAATCTACACACAGTACCCCATAATGACAAAACAAAAACAGGTTTTTGGAAATGTTGGCTAATGTATCAAATAAAGAAAACTGAAATCACATTTACATAGGTATTCAGACCCTTTACTTAGTACTTTGTTGAAGCACCTTTGGCAGCGATTACAGGTTGAGTCTTCTTGGGTATGACGCTACATGCTTGGCACAACTGTATTTGGGGAGTTTTTCCCCATTCTTCTCTGCAGATCCTCTCAAACTCTGTCAGGTCTGGGCTCTGGCTGGGCCACTCAAGGACATTCAGAGACATCCCGAAGCCACTCATGCGTTGTCTTGGCTGTGTGCTTAGGGTCGTTGTCCTGTTGGAAGATGAACCACCATGCTTCACCGTAGGGATGGTGCCAGGTTTCCTCCAGACGTGATGCTTTGCATTCAGGCCAAATAGTTCAATCTTGGTTTCATCAGACTAGAGAATCTTGTTTCTCATGGTCTGAGTCCTTTAAGTGCCTTTTAGCAAACTCCAAGCGGGCTATCATGTGCCTTTTACTGAGGAGTGGCTTCCGTCTGGCCAGTCTACCATAAAGGCCTGATTGGTGGAGTGCTGCAGAGATGGATGTCCTTCTGGAAGGTTCTCCCATCTCCACAGAGGACCTCTGGAGCTCTGTCGGAGTGACCATCGGGTTCTTGGTCACCTCCCTGACCAAGGCCCTTCTCCCCCGATTGCTCAGTTTGGCCGGGCGGCCAGCTCTAGGAAGAGTCTTGGTGGTTCCAAACTTCTTCCATTTAAGAATGATGGTGGCCACTGTATTCTTGGGGACCTACAATGCTGCAGCCATTTCTTTTGTACCCTTCCCCAGATCTGTTCCTCGACACAATCCTGTCTCGGAGCTCTACGGACAATTCCTTCGACCTCATGGCTTGGTTTTTGCTCTGACATGCACTGTCAACTGTGGGACCTTATATCGACAGGTGCGTGTCTGTGCAAATCATGTTCAATCAATTGAATTTACCACAGGTGGACTCCAATCAAGTTGAGAAACATCTCAAGGATGATCAATGGAAACAGGATGCACCTGAGCTCAATTTTGAGTATCATAGCATAGGGTCTGAATACTTATGTAAATAAGGTATTTCTGTTTTTTATTTTTAATACATTTGCAAAAAATTCTATAAACCAGTTTTCGCTTTGTCATTATTGGGTATTGTGTGTATATTGATGAGGAAAAATTGAATTCATTCAATTTTAGAATAAGGCTGTAACAGCAAAATCTGTAGCGCTGGGCTGGTTGTATCCCCCATATATATATAGCATTATATTGGTTGCAAGAATGTTGTATCATTTAAATAGAAAAATTCGAAGTTTTGAATCCGGCGTCGTTTTGCGTATCAGTTCATAAACCAGGTGCCATGGAATTGGTACATCGAAGTTCTCTTCCCAACTATTTTGCAATCTATATGGCACAGCTGTACATTTTTTGGTCGTTAAATGAAACTTTTTTTTATCACAATTTTCTTTAACCAATTTTGGTCTTTAATGCAGGGCAGACAGACAAGTTCCTTACTTTTTCCCCCTTCCACTTGCCTCTTCCATTTTTGCGGTAATGCAGCAATTAGTTGGTTGTAATTTTGTGGTAGAGCAGACATTTCCATATTTTTGTTAGCTGCATGTGTGACAACTCCACCAGTCCACCATATTTTTTTTTTTGTGGGTCAATTAGTATATTTGAGTTTAACCACAATATTTGTTTTATTTTTTATTCTGTCTTTTCTGGTGGATTAAACTGATTTTGCAACCAACTTTCTATGGCTTGATTAAAAAATAGCGACATTTGGGAGATTTCATTTTCAAATAACAAAGTGAGAGGTTGTAATCTGAATAAAGGGAAAAAGGCCATTCTTGAACATGGGGTGAGACATTCTTACTAATCTGCTAGAGAACCAGTTCGGATTTAAGTATAACTTTTGTATGACTGACGCCTTTTAGTGAGAGGTCTAAAGCTTTAATAATTAGTCATTTCTGCCCTCCGAATTCATTTTCATTATATAAATAGGCCTGTTTAATTTTGTCTGGCTTGCCGTTCCAAATAACATTTAAATATTTTTTGCTCGTATAATAAATAAATAAAACAGGTTGGTAGGTGTAGGCAAGACCATAAGCAAATAGGTATACTGGGATATGACTAAAGAGGGTGATTTTTCCACAAATAGACAGGTATTTTCCTTTCCATGGTAGCAAGATCTTAGCTATTTTTTATTAAAATGTATTGTAGTGAGATCATTTCTTTCTTTCGGAATATGTATACCGAGTATGTCCACATTTTATTGATAAACTACACGGTAATGCAAAGTTGTATTTTTTTGTGACCCAATACGTAATATAGTACACTTATCATACTTTGGTTGTAATCCAGAGAGGTTAGAAAAAGTATCTAGAACCTCTATTAGGCTGTGGAGTGATCCAAATTGTGGATTTATAAGACAACATTAATCATCAGCGTACAATGACACCTTTGTTTTTAAGCCCTGGATTTATAACCCCTTGATATTATTGTTGGATCTGATTTTAATAGCTAACATTTCGATGGTCATAATATATAGATATGCCGATAGTGGACAACCTTGTTTCACTCCTCTTGACAGTTTAATACTATCTGAGAAGTAGCCATTATTTACTATATTACACCTAGGGTTACTAGCTTTAACCCATTTTATAAGAGAATCTCAAAAATTTAAATATTCCATGCATTTATATATAAATTCCAGTCGTACTTTATCAAAAGCCTTTTCAAAGTCAGCTATGAATACCAGGCCTGGTTTCCCAGATTTTTCATAGTGTTCTATTGTTTCCTGTATTGTCTTATATTATCTCCAATGTATCGTCCATGTAAAAAACGTGTCTGATTAGGATGAATAATATCCGACAATACTTTTTTAATTCTATGCATTTTGCATCACAACACTAAAGTGTAAGGGGCCTCCAATGTTTTTAAATGGACTGAGTCTTTATATTTACCACTTGGATCCTGTTTCTGTAATAACAAAATCAGACCTTGTTGAGTATCTGATAATCTAAAATTGTTATAGGAGTGGTTAAAACATGCTAGTAACGGTCCTCTGAGTATATAAAAAAAGGTTTGGTATACCTCCACTGGTATGCCATCCAGCCCTGGATTTTTCCCAGACTTAAAGGCTTTAATTGCATCAAGAAGTTCCTCCTCTGTAATTTGGCCTTCACGTGAGTCTTTCTGTACAGCTGTTAATTTTACATTATTCATAGAAAAAAAATCCATACAATTAACTTCGGTTAGTGGAGATGGAGGAGACAGAAACGAAAACATATGCTTAAAGTACTTCGCTTCCTCTTTCAAAATATAATTTGGTGAATCATGGGGGTGACTCCGTCATTTGTAACAACAAGTTTTAGTAAATTATATTTGGTAGCATTTCTATGTTGAAGATTACAAAATAATTTGGTGCATTTTTCCCCGTATTCCATCCAGTTCGCTTTATTTTTATAATATATTACACTTGATCTTTCTTGAATAAGTTCCTCCATTTCTTTTTGTTTTTCCTCAAACTTATTCTGTGCCTCTATGGTACAGTTTTTATTGCTATTTATCTGTACTGTTAGTCCTTCCATTTCGTTTATTAATATGGACTCTTTTGACCTGAATTGCTTTTGTTTTAGAGATGAGTACTGAATTGCATGGCCTCTAAAGGCACATTTAAAAGTGTCCCATACAATATGGGGATCTGCTGTACCTATGTTACGCCCGAAAAAGTTAGTTATAAATTCTTCTTTCCTAGTTAATAACAAGTTATCATCCAATAGGCTTTGATTCAATTTCCAATATCCTTGACCACTTGGAAATTCAGTAAGAGTAATGTATATTGCAATTATTTGATGGTCCGACTGCATTCTGTCCCCTATCAAGCTTTTTAAAGTTTTTGTGCCAGCAAGAATGACATAAGAAAGTAGTCAAGACGACTAGCTTGATTGAGCCTCCGCCATGTATATCTCACTAGGTCAGGATATATAAGCCTCCATATATCCACTAGTTCCAATATATCCATAACATTATTGATTTCCTTAAGTGCATGAGGGTGATAGTTTGTAGTCTGACTTCCTTTATGGTCCATTGAGGTATTTAAAACCGTATTATAATCTCCCACCATAATAATAGAGTCTTGTATTGCTTGTAGGTTTGATAAATTATTATATACACTGCTCAAAAAAATTAAGGGAACACTTAAACAACACAATGTAACTCCAAGTCAATCACACTTCTGTGAAATCAAACTGTCCACTTAGGAAGCAACATTGATTGACAATACATTTCACATGCTATTGTGCAAATGGAATAGACAACAGGTGGAAATTATAGGCAATTAGCAAGACACCCCCAATAAAGGACTGGTTTTGCAGGTGGTGACCACAGACCACTTCTCAGTTCCTATGCTTCCTGGCTGATGTTTTGGTCACTTTTGAATGCTGGCGGTGCTTTCACTCTAGTGGTAGCATGAGACAGAGTCTACAACCCACACAAGTGGCTCAGGTAGTGCAGCTCATCCAGGATGGCACATCAATGCGAGCTGTGGCAAGAAGGTTTGCTGTGTCTGTCAGCGTAGTGTCCAGAGCATAGAGGCGCTACCAGGAGACAGGCCAGTACATCAGGAGACGTGGCGGAGGCCGTAGGAGGGCAACAACCCAGCAGCAGGACTGCTACCTCCGCCTTTGTGCAAAGAGGAGCAGGAGGAGCACTGCCAGAGCCCTGCAAAATGACCTCCAGCAGGCCACAAATGTGCATGTGTCTGCTCAAACGGTCGGAAACAGACTCCATGAGGGTGGTATGAGGGCCCGACGTCCACAGGTGGGGGTTGTGCTTACAGCCCAACACCGTGCAGGACGTTTGGCATTTGCCAGAAAACACCAAGATTGGCAAATTCACCACTGGCGCCCTGTGCTCTTCACAGATGAAAGCAGGTTCACACTGAGCACATGTGACAGAGTCTGGAGACGCCGTGGAGAACGTTCTGCTGCCTGCAACATCCCCCAGCATGACCGGTTTGGCGGTGGGTCAGTCATGGTGTGGGGTGGCATTTCTTTGGGGGGCCGCACAGCCCTCCATGTGCTCGCCAGAGGTAGCCTGACTGCCATTAGGTACCGAGATGAGATCCTCAGACCCCTTGTGAGACCATATGCTGGTGCGGTTGGCCCTGGGTTCCTCCTAATGCAAGACAATGCTAGACCTCATGTGGCTGGAGTGTGTCAGCAGTTCCTGCAAGAGGAAGGCATTGATGCTATGGACTGGCCCGCCCGTTCCCCAGACCTGAATCCAATTGAGCACATCTGGGACATCATGTCTCGCTCCATCCACCAACGCCACGTTGCACCACAGACTGTCCAGGAGTTGGCGGATGCTTTAGTCCAGGTCTGGGAGGAGATCCCTCAGGAGACCATCCGCCACCTCATCAGGAGCATGCCCAGGCGTTGTAGGGAGGTCATACAGGCACGTGGAGGCCACACACACTACTGAGCCTCATTTTGACTTGTTTTAAGGACATTACATCAAAGTTGGATCAGCCTGTAGTGTGGTTTTCCACTTTAATTTTGAGGGTGACTCCAAATCCAGACCTCCATGGGTTGATACATTTGATTTCCATTGATAATTTTTGTGTGATTTTGTTGTCAGCACATTCAACTATGTAAAGAAAAAAGTATTTAATAAGATTATTTCATTCATTCAGATCTATGATGTGTTATTTTAGTGTTCCCTTAATTTTTTTGAGCAGTGTATATTTTCAAAGAAGCGTGGATCATCATTATTTGGACCATATAGATTAATGAACCATATCTGTTTATGGTCCAATAACATATTTAAAATCATCCATCTACCTTGCGGATCTGTTTGGACAATTTGCACATTCGGATCAAAATTATTGTTAATTAATATCATCACCCCTTTTGAGTTTCTTTGCCCATGGGAGAAGTATATTTCGCCCCCCCCAGTCCTTTTTCCACACAACTTCATCTAAAATTGTTGAATGAGTTTCCTGTAAACAGTAGATATTATATTCCTTCTCTTTTAGCCAGGTAAATACTGATAGTCTTTTCTTATTATCTGCTAAGCCATTACAATTATAACTGGCTATACTTATTTGACCATTTACCATAATGAGATACAAGTTTAAATTCTATTTATCATAATATATGTTTGTAAACTTAGCATTTAAAAGTACCATAGTGATTGAGAGTCCATATAGCTGTACCATGATATTTGCAATGCTACTAAGTAAACCTCAAATTGTTTTCCACTATTCCACCCGCTAAACCCCCCCATCACAAGTTGGGTTGTCATCCCAGTGACCGGCAGACCACCGCCGTCCCCACAGATCCCTGGGCCCCCGAGAGACCGGGACCCATCCTTCGAAAAGAGCACACAGTGCCACCCACAGAATAGAAGCAGATCAGCCGCCAAAAGCGGTAACCTGTTTATAATAGCAATAAGGCACCTTAGGTGTTTGTGGTATATTGCCAATATACCACGGTTAAGGGCTGTATCCAGGCACGCTGCATTGTGCATAAGAACAGCCCTTAGCCATGGTATATTGGCCATATACCACACCCCCTCAGGCCTTATTGCCTAAATATGTATTTAGAAATCTTCGGTATCTTAATTTCCACAATTAACTAATAATATGCATAATAATGTAGGCAGTTCATGCGAAGGATTGCTACCTAAAACCAGGATTGCCATTACAGAAATTACATTTTTGGCAAGCAATTATTATTTTAGCCAACAATTATTGTGATTCATCCTATATTGTCCCTAACATCATTACCCCATAGCAACAGATGTGGGATACACACACACATACTCATATACCCTCCCTCGACCCCTTTACCCTACAAACAACCACAAGCTCAATGTTCAACAGTTGTTCCATTCACAAGCCCAACTCAAGAAAGTACTTGATGTGCGAATGCATATATAGTTGCAGTTGTTTGAGAAGGCATGCAAAATTGAGCAAAAATTGCGAGATTTGATTAACCAATGTCAATTCCTAGCTGATGGAGCTCAGATACACCCCCTTCCCCTGAAACACACACATGCTGGTCCCCCGTTGTGACCATTTTCCCAAGCATCTCAGTGCAGTCAGACCATTGATTATTTTGTGCCACCAGGGCCACAATAATTTGCCCCCTCTCTGATTGTCCGAGTGTGACCCCCCCCCTCCCCATGGGTTACTGCAGCTAGTGTTGCCAGCACTGCCACTACCTGGGTGGGGGCACCCCACCGGAATCCACACCGGCTAGGTACAAGGTCATCAAGGTTCTCATTAGCAGCTTTGAGAAATTCCTTGTATATGATCACCCATCCGGGGGCTTTGGCTTTGTAGGACCAAACCTGCCGGGCAGGCTCAGAATCTTGAGGGGGCGGTCTGCTTTAGTGAGTCTCTGACCACATTTATCTTTCTGTTTTGGCTGCATATTGGCTACTGACAGCAGGCCCATAAAACAGATAAGGACTTCTCCTTAGTGTATGGGTCGCTCAGGTGGGTGTCTAGGGTATAACGTTGGGGACTGTTTCATCATGATAGGACAATAAATAAATAAACTATATTTATAATTTCTTTTAAAATGACAAACGTGTGTTTGTGTGTTGTAGATACTATGGTGTGTACTGGGTGTTGTTCCAGTCTGGACCACATCGCCACCTACCTGTTCAAACAGGTAACCTCTCCCTCTGTTCATCTATAATCTATTCATATCATCTTAAACCTGTATGTTCCTAGATTGATGCGAATGTAAATCTAATCTATTGTTGTTTCTGTTCAGCTTTCTCGCTCCACTAAGAAACGACCTGTTGCCATGGCAACAGACGACCGCTTCCTACACATCATGCAGCAACACCCAGAGATGATCCAACAGGTACACACACCCCCCAAACACACACACACCGATCGCTCTCACACACACTAATCAATCTGTGTGTTTGTCCTACAGATGTTGTCCACGGTGTTGAACATCATCATCTTTGAGGACTGCAGGAACCAGTGGTCCATGTCCAGACCTCTACTGGGCCTCATCCTGCTCAACGAGAAGGTACAGGTACACAACCACATCCACACACCCATTATCCAACCATTCCCTGGAAGACGTGACAATTGTTGCTGAGTGGACTATCCTGGCTAAAAAAAGGAAAGAGAAAACCTAACACACCAGCCTCGTCCTGTGTGTCTCCATTCCTGCAGTATTTTGCCGATCAGAGAACATAATTTTTGTGCGCTTGTGTGTGTAGTATTTTGCAGACCTGAGGAACAGCATTGTGAACAGCCAGCCTCCAGAGAAGCAGCAGGCCATGCATCTCTGCTTTGAGAACCTGATGGAGGGGATAGAACGCAACCTGCTAACCAAGAACAGAGACAGGTACACACAATACCATTGACTGTGTGTGTGTGTGGTAACTGTGTGTTTTAACTCTGTGTATATTAATCTGTGCAGGTTCACCCAGAACCTCTCGGTGTTCCGGAGGGAGGTGAACGACAGCATGAAGAACTCTTCCTACGGAGTCAACACCAATGACATGATGAGCTGACATTCCACACACACGCACACCTGCTCCACACAGAGCAGCTTCCCAAAACTCACCCCATCCTCTTCCTCTCCACTCCTCCTCTCACCCCATCCACTTCCTCTCCTCTCTCCCTCTCCCTTGTGGTTCCACCCTCCTTTTTATAGAAGCCTATATAAATATACAGATCTATTTTAAAGCCAGTCTGTAGAGGTCACCGGAGGTCGCTCTGCTGCTCACTGGGAGGAGAGGGGGAAGAGGAGGTGGATGAGGATGGAGGGAGGATACCGCTACACACTCTTGAGGGAGATAATCTGCAGAGGAGGAGGAGTGGGGGGATGAAGGAGTGGAGAAGGTGAAAAGGGAGAAGCTGGTAAATGTAGTTCTCTGCTTCTGCCTGCCTTGTATAGAAACACAACAAATCAAGTGTACATTTTTTTCATAACATTTTGAACAATGTTTATATTGATTGAATTTAAAACACAAAATGAGACGTGTGATTGAACTTTTTACAGTGTAGTGAGTCAGTGCACCTGTCTGTGTGTGGGGAGCAAACTTTCTACAGGGGATGAGAGGAGCGAGAAAGTAGAGCGCACTAGAGCTGCGACGGGGCAGAGAGATGAACTGGTTGTTTTGTACATTTTCCTCTGGCCCTCTGATTTGAGTGATGTAAATACCCACCACTGTTACTTCCTAGGTACTGCCCCTAGCCACCACCCTTACTCTCTATGCACTGCCCAAAGCCCCTAGACACCACCCTTAGCCCCTAGACACTTTTCCTTGAAAATAATTGCTTGTTCCATTAGGATTGGTTGGGTGTAGGTGTGGGGCAGGGTTATGTGAGTCGGTTTGGGTTAAGGTCATGCTCCACTTTACCCTCTGGTAGGCTGGTTGGAGCTGACACTAACCTTAGGGGAGTCGGTTGGGTTAGGGGAGGGTGAAGTGTCTCAGCAGGCTAGTGTGTAGGTGTCACAGATCTGATAATGGAAAGGAGCGTGACTGCAGTCTCTCTCTGGTGTGTGTGTGTGACTGAGTGTGTGTGTGCGTGACTGAGTGTGTGTGTGCGCATGGCCTCTCGTGGTGCTGTAAAGGAGTGGTGTGCTCCAGACAGAACCTACCCGGACATTCTAGAACGTTCAGCTCTCGTCTCTTAGCTCCCTGAAGGATTGTTTATTTCTAATTGAGAAACTAAAGAAGAATAATGCAACCTTTGGTAGAACAGAGAGATGTGTATTACAGGGATATGGGTGGTAAGAAAAAGACAACTGTGTATTAAGAGTTCATTAGCAACTTGTGCTACTCTACAGGTGTTGCTGCTAACTGTTTGTGACGACTAGCTCATCTAACGATGTTGATTTGACTTCCTGGTGTATTGTTTTGGTTCCCTAAAGTGAGTGTGTGTGTGTGTGATCGGTACCTTGGTTCTCTGATGTGAGTGTGTGTTGGATCGGTAGCTTGGTTGAGTTGTGTGGATGTCTGCTACATATTATAGTGTCGGCATTGTGACTGCAAATAAACGTTATTTGATTTGTATACCGTGCTGTCACTGTGTTTCACTGCACAACATGGGTCATGTCTTTAGTGTGTGGTGAAGACTAGCAAATGTATTGTCTTCATAAGGATTTATCTGAAACACAGGCTACAGGTTGATTCCAGACGTCCATTTATTCAGATTCAGGTATAAATAAAATATCACATGACGAGACCAGTCCGACGGTAGAAACCAAATGCAGTCGGATACACTCTGTTCAAATCTGAAAGGACACCCTATTTCTTATATAGTGCACAACTGCTTGCCAGAGCTGTGGTCATAAGTGGTTCACTATAGAGAATATGGTGCCATTTGAAAGACGTTTACAACTTTGTACAAAAACAAGGACATACGCAATCCCAGAAATGCTTGGCACAAATAAAAGAGGAAACCTAATTACATATAGCTACGATGCTCAGTTTAGACATCAGTACACACACACACTTGTGGGATGCAGGCTGGTGTGTGTGGAGGGGGGGAGACTTCTGGGCCATGTTCAGTAAGCAAATGTTGCAGATAGAAATGTTGTGAATTGTTTGTTGTACATATTTATCTGAACGTGACCTGGGGTGTATTCATTACACAAACAATTTACTCCAAACGGAAAACAAGTTTCTATTGTACAAATTCAGGTAGGTCCCTCCCCATTTCGCTCACTTGTTTGGTTCTTAAACGTTTTCAGTTGCAAGACGTAAAGAATATACCCCTGCTGAACGTGCCCCATGTCTAGTTTCCAGTATACCTATGTTGTCAACAAGGTGGGCAACCACAGGAAAAGTGTGTAAGGAGATGGTGGGTGACAAGCATTGGGAATGTTTAGCCTGGTAACCAGGGCTGTTGAAACGTTCTGTTTCTGGGTTAGAGGTTATGGGGTGGGGTTCAGGGTATCCCATACCTAGGTCAGAAATAGGATTTATAAAGGGTGTAACAAAGGGTGTTTAGCCTGGTACATAGGACTGATTTAAACTTTATCTTACTGGGTTACAGGTTATAGCAGGTTGGGTTATAGGGTATGGGTTACGAAGGCTGCTTTTTAGCCTGGAAAACAGGGGTGTTGAATCCTTCTCTGTTCCTAGCGATCTCGATGGCAAAGAACTGGATCCTGGTGGCTGCAGGGACAATAAGGTCATAGTTAAATACACCTGATAACTAAAAATCCTGATGAATATTCATAAAAAAAGACTGAAGGCCCGCACACTTATGTTCCTAATTAGTGACATTTCTTGTGCGATAGTGACTGACAATACCAAATATGGTGTTTTCTTCTGTGTAGTCCTTCACACAGTCGAGTCGTAGCAGAGTCCCGTAGTTAAAGTCCTCCACCACTCCGTCAAACTGGTTACAGAATGGACGCCACTTCTATTGACAACAACACAGAGAAAAGGTTAGTTTCTCTCTCTCACACACACCCCCACTCTTCCTCTGTCCCTCTTTGTATCTGTGACTCCTGTAACACACATTGTCCCCTACCTCTTTGGCCTCAGCCGTTTTGAGCATGTCTGGGTCCAAGTTCTTGATGTTGAGGTCTGAGAAGGATTCTCTGAAGGATGTATAGATCTGGTCATCCACCTTGGTCAGCTTCAGATTACTGGGGTCTACTGATGAGATCAGCTACACACACACACACACACACGATTAGCTGGAGGGGAGAGGACTAGATCAGTGCAATGTGGCTGCTAGTATTGATAATATGCTCCACCTGGTGCAAGTACTTGTGAGCAAGAGATACTCACATTGAAGTAGATCTCTGCGTGATTGTAAGCTTTCATTGCCCACATCACTTCCAGTTGAGGCTGAAACACATGCACACACACAGGTTAGCTAACTGACACTATAATTATACTGTGTTAGTGTGTGTCAGAAGATGGAAAACCTCAATAGACAGTGTGTGTGTGTGTTGGCTACTCACATCATTCCCATAAGCCTCAGCTGGTAGAGACAGAGCCTGTGCGGCTGCTGTAGCTCCCTCCACGCCCTGAATAACATATAACAGAATCATTAGAGTATTACAATTGCTCCTTCACAGTAGCTTTGGGACACAACATTGGGAGTCTGTGTATTGGTTGGACTCCCTGAGTTGTGAATCGTTCTGGTGGGTGGCGATGGAAAATAACCCTACCACAATATCGCCGGCTACACCAAAAAAACACTTACTGTCAACAAAAGCATATAATCTCTAGGAACTGTATTTACCAGACGTAAAGTGAAATGTGACCCTCGCTATCAAATAAACGTCTGAATCCAACTTTTGTCCGAACCACACCAAGTGCGTGATCTAATGGCAGCCCACTGTCTAACTCAACCGAAATAAAAGTTTGATTCAGACATTTATTTGATAGCGAGGGACACATTTCACTTTACATCTGGTAAATAAGAGTTCCAAGAGATTATACATATGCCTTTGCTGACAGGAAACGTTGTCTTGGTGAAGCCAGCTATAGAGTACCACAGTATGAGTCATAATATCCATAAAACCTAGCGGTCAAACAAGGAAATGGTTCCAATCGTTTTCCACAATTAATTCTTCCCATAGAGGATTTTAGTGTGTTTCGTGTAGGCTTATCCTGGCGTGAAGTTTTGATAACCGTGTAAATCGCTTTAGGACAAGGTGATTTTTATCAATATAGTTACCTGTATTTGAAATGCAAATTAGCTGCTATCATAAAGAACTACAAATGCCATGATGATCTGGACGAGACTACAGAATTGAGGCAAAGGTAAGAATCTCTGGATTAACTATATAATGTTAGCTAAATGTAGTAATATGTTGGCAATATTTATTTTAAATTCTGCAAACTGTCTTGTGCAAGTTTTAATGTGACAACACCTGTTAGCAAATGTCAGCTAGAGATGACTAGGAGCTTGCAGGGATTTGTAGTTTTGCATGTCTACTTTGATGCTAATTAGCATTTTCGAATCAGAGTAAATAGAGCCGAATATATATTGATAAGTCACCTTGTCCGAGAGAGATTTACATGGTTATCAAACCATCACGACAGGGTAAGCCTACAAGAAACACAGCCCTTATTTTAAGTGTTTCTAAAATTCCCTTTGGGAAAAATTGTGGGAAAACGATTGGAACCATTTCCCTGTTTGACCGCTAGGTTTTATGGGTATTATGACACATCCACTGTGGGCCTCTATATTGTGGTAGGGTTATTTTCCATCGCCACCCACCAGAACGATTCACAACTCTGGGAGTCCCACTAATACACAGTCTACCGATGTTGTGTCCAAAAGCTACTTCACAGTTCACACCCTAAATAACACGACGAAATGTTGTCATTGGCATTATCAATTCAATATTACTGTTATTGCTGAAGTCTAACAATGGTATTAAAACATGTTTAGTTCAATCAATGTTGTTCCCGTATAGCCAGAGGCATTTGTACAAATAAAAAATGCAGCATATACTTTAAGAATTAATTTACATATACAGCTACAATCTACCCGTATATGACATGTACATTAAGTTCAAATACAGTTATTTAACCGTGTGGATTCTCACCAGAGAAGCAAGTCCATTTCCCGACGCCATGCTGTAAACTTTGACCTGATGACGTCATATCGTTCTGCTTAAAGGGCCCACGTCTTGTCTCCTTTCCTACATCTGCTGTGACATCTGGGACTGGTGAAAGCTAAATGGTGATATTCATTTTTCACCATGTTGCTTCTTCTTATCCACTTGTTGTCAGATAGGCTAGGAAAGGGGAGGGGATTGGAGGGATGGAGCTGGGGAGAGAGGAGAGTAAAAGAGAGGAGGAGATTAAATTGGGGAGAGGAGAGGAGAGGAGGAAGCTACTTTATGGAAATGCAGACCACAGGCAGTCTCTGCAGCCCAAGCACCGTCTTCAAACGCACGCACGCGCACACCCTCCCTTCCTCCAGTCTCCTCGATATCTAGGAGCGCCCTAAAACTGACAGGCTCCTGCCCATGGCACGCGACTGATGTGATTCCGGCATGCTCGATCTGTTGCTGTCACTAGCTGGAGTGTTATTTTGTTGATGACGATCGGATTGATTGGTAGGTAAGATCAGATCATTTTATTTTATTGTATTATTATTATTATCAAGATCTTGTCTTCTAGACCGCCTCTCATTCCCCCTCGTGCGAATTTATCGATGGAAAGCCGCATGACGTGGTTATTATAGTCCTATTGGATAGGGAGGCTATAATATGATAGGCTTGAACAGTATGTGATGTAGTACTAATAAATTGGCTATAGCCTATATGAGCCTATGTTCATCTGGTGCGTCGATGTTTGTCTATTATGAGGCTATATTGTTATAAAGCTTTATTTACATTTTACATTTACATTTTTAGTCATTTAGCAGACGCTCTTATCCAGAGCGACTTACAGTTAGTGAATACATATTTTTTTTTTTTTTATACTGGCCCCCCGTGGGAATCGAACCCACAACCCTGGCGTTGCAAACGCCATGCTCTATCAACTGAGCTACATCCCGGCCGGCCATTCCCTCCCCTACCCTGGACGACGCTGGGCCAATTGTGCGCCGCCCATGAGTCTCCCGGTCGCGGCCGGCTGCGACAGAGCCTGGATTCGAACCAGGATCTCTAGTGACACAGTTAGCACTGCGATGCAGTGCCTTAGACCACTGCGCCACAATAAAGCAAATATGTATCCATGAAAGCCACACCAATAACAAGCCAGAGTGGGATAGGCCATCTGGCAATTCTGACAAAGGCCAGATAGGCTGGACCATTTTTTTGGTGGGTGGGCTGGTCGGAATTGACACACACAAAATGTTTTTTATATATATAAAAATAATAAAAAGGTGACATGGTCGGTGGCCCATGGACCTGTTTAGATTTTGTACGATTTTTGCGCAATTTCTATGTTATAATAATCTATAACGAGCCTTTGGCTGATCATTGGGCAACGGTTTTCTGATAGGCTGAGCTGATGTCACGCAAACTCACATTCAAAGTCAAAAGTGGCATCAGCAAAGAGACCTGCTCCGACTCTGTCATCATTTAGACAGCCAAGATCATGGATCGTAAAAAACGGAAAGGATGCCTATTAACGTACAAAGAGTACATTCTACATTTGGTCATTCTACATTTGGTCAAACAGTAAAGTGCATTATCCTTATGATTCCTGTAATGTGTGCCCTGCTTTGCTGAGGCCTGCTGCTGTAATGAGCGAGCCACTCTCCTCTCCCCCATGCACTCATAGGGTTGTCACGATACCAGGATCAAAATACTCAGAATTAAGGAAGAAAAGGAAACAAAACATGAAGCGGACCTAATTTCTTGAGGAAAACAGTCTTCATGTAGGGAAAAAAAGCCTTATGTTGCCACCCAGAATCACATTTGTTTATTTTGAAGGTTTAGCACACAATATTGTACAACAGTTGGTTTTAAAGGTTCATAGAGTGAAGTCTGCTTCTTGTTTTTTATTTATTTTCAAGACATCTGCTATCGTAGTATCGCAATACTGGTATCGTGAAAACACTATGCGCTCAAGAGAAAAATGTGTTCTGATCGTATAATGTTTCAAAATGCAATTGCGGGAAAAACACGGCTTTGGAAGCTTCATCCGCTTGTCCCTATCGAAGAGAGGAGGGCCTCAGCTTTCTGTAGGTATCATTGATTTCTCAATATTCAGCTCAATAGCAACTATTTACAACCAATATATTTTATATGGCTTAGAGATATGGAGTGGCGTGCGCGAGGGCATAGCCCTATAGTTCTCATGGGTAGTAGCCTACAACTGCAAAGTTTTTTTAGGACATTACATTTACTGTTGGATGAATACATGGCCACTAGCAGTGGGTATTATATTTATAGTTAGCGATCTAGTTGATGTGTTTTGAGTTTCCACTCCCTCAGGTGATTAATTAGCCTATTAAATTAGTTAGTGCACATAAAGATGTATGTAATTAATCTCTCTGGAGTCCTATTTTGACAGTAAAATATAGCAACTATAGTCTAATTGTCAACCCAAACAGAATTCATGGCAATCACTGAATTAGGTTGCACAAAATGGCTGGGTGGCCGGGGACTTTAATGCAGGCAAACTTAAATCCGTTTTACCTCATTTCTACCAGCATGTCACATGTGCAACCAGAGGAAAAAAAACTCTAGACCACCTTTACTCCACACAGAGAGACACGTACAAAGCTCTCCCTCGCCCTCCATTTGGAAAATCTGACCATAATTCTATCCTCCTGATTCCTCCTTACAAGCAAAAACTAAAGCAGGAAGTACCAGTGACCCACTCAATACGGAAGGGGTCAGATCAAATAAAATAAAATAAAATTTTATTGGCCACATGTGCAGGTGGTTGAACAATACAACAGGTGTAGACATTACAGTGAAATGCTTACTAACAGCCCTTAACCAACAATGCATTTATTTTTTAATAAAAAGGTAAAATAAAACAAGAAAAAAGTGTTGAGAAAAAAAGAGCAGAAGTAAAATAAAATAACAGTAGGGAGGCTATATATACAGGGGGGGTACCGGTGCAGAGTCAATGTGCAGGGGCACCGGCTAGTTGAGGTAATATGTACATGTGGGTAGAGATAAAGTGACTATGCATAAATAATTAACAGAGTAGCAGCAGCGTAAAAAGATGGGGTGGGGGTGGGGGGGCAGTGCAAATAGTCAGGGTAGCCATGATTAGCTGTTCAGGAGTCTTATGGCTTGGTGGGTAGAGGCTGTTGAGGAGCCTTTTGGACCTAGACTTGGCGCTCCGGTACCGCTTGCCGTGCGGTAGCAGAGAGAACAGTCTATGACTAGGGTGGCTGGAGTCTTTGACAATTTTGAGGGCCTTCCTCTGACACCGCCTGGTATAGAGTTCCTGGATGGCAGAAAGCTTGGCCCCAGTGATGTACTGGGCTGTACGCACTACCCTCTGTAGTGCCTTGCGGTCGGAGGCCGAGCAGTTGCCATACCAGGCAGTGATGCAACCAGTCAGGATGCTCTCGATGGTGCAGCTGTAGAATATTTTGATTATCTGAGGACCCATGCCAAATCTTTTCAGTCTCCTGAGGGGAATAGGCTTTGTCGTGCCCTCTTCACGACTGTCTTGGTGTGTTTGGACCATGATAGTTCGTTGGTGATGTGGACACCAAGGAACTTGAAGCTCTCAACCTGTTCCACTACAGCCCCGTCGATGAGAATGGGGGCGTGCTCAGTCCTCTTTTTTTTCCTGTAGTCCACAATCATCTCCTTTGTCTTGGTCACGTTGAGGGAGAGGTTGTTATCCTGGCACCACACGGCCAGGTCTCTGACCTCCTCCCTATAGGCTGTCTCATCGTTGTTGGTGTTCAGGCCCACCACTGTTGTGTCATCGGCAAACTTAATGATGGTGTTGGAGTCGTGCCTGGCCATGCAGTCATGGGTGAACAGGGAGTACAGGAGGGGACTGAGCACGCACCCCTGAGGGGCCCCCGTGTTGAGGATCAGTGTGGCAGATGTGTTGTTACTTACCCTTACCACCTGGGGGCGGCCCGTCAGGAAGTCCAGTATCCAGTTGCAGAGGGAGGTGTTTAGTCCCAGGATCCTTAGCTTAGTGATGAGCTTTGAGGGCACTATGGTGTTGAATGCTGAGCTGTAGTCAATGAATAGCATTCTCACGTAGGTGTTCCTCTTGTCTAGGTGGGAAAGGACAGTGTGGAGTGCAATAGAGATTGCATCATCTGTGGATCTGTTGGGGCGGTATGCAAATTGGAGTGGGTCTAGGGTTTCTGGGATAATGGTATTGATGTGAGCCATGACCAGCCTTTCAAAGCACTTCATGGCTACAGACGTCAGTGCTACGGGTCGGTAGTCATTTAGGCAGGTTATCTTAGTGTCCTTGGGCACAGGAACTATGGTGGTCTGCTTGAAACATGTTGGTATTACAGACTCAGTCAGGGACATGTTGAAAATGTCAGTGAAGACACTTGCCAGTTGGTCAGCACATGCTCGGAGTACACGTCCTGGTAATCCGTCAGGCCCTGCGTCCTTGTGAATGTTGACCTGCTTAAAAGTCTTACTCACATTGGCTACGGAGAGCGTGATCACATAGTCATCCGGAACAGCTGGTGCTCTCATGCATGCTTCAGTGTTGCTTGCCTCGAAGCAAGCATAGAAGTGGTTTAGCTTGTGTCACTGGGCAGCTCGCGGCTGTGCTTCCCTTTGTAGTCTGTAATAGTTTTCAAGCCCTGCCACATCCGACGAGCGTCAGAGCCGGTGTAGTACGATTCAATCTTAGTCCTGTATTAACTCTTTGCCTGTTTGATGGTTCGTCGGAGGGCATAGCGGGACTTATAAGCGTCCGGGTTAGAGTCCCGCTCTTTGAAAGTGGCAACTCTACCCTTTAGCTCAGTGCGGATGTTGCCTGTAATCCATGGCTTCTGGTTGGGGTATGTACGTACAGACACTTTGGGGACGACGTCATCGATGCACTTATTGATGAAGCCAGTGACTGATGTGGTGTACTCCTCAATGCTATCTGAAGAATCCCGGAACATGTTCCAGTCTGTGCTAGCAAAACAGTCCTGTAGCTTAGCATCTGCGTCATATGACCACTTTTTTATTAACCGAGTCACTGGTGCTTCCTGCTTTAGTTTTTGCTCATAAGCAGGAATCAGGAGGATATTTGCCAAATGGAGGGCGAGGGAGAGCTTTGTATGTGTCTCTTTGTGTGGAGTAAAGGTGGTCTAGAGTTTTTTTCCCTCTGGTTGCACATTTAACATGCTGGTAGAAATTAGGTAGAATGGATTTAAGTTTAAGTTTCCCTGCATT